CCTGGAGGAAATGGATTGGGCTGACAGTGGCTTAGAAGCAGTTCTAGTTTGAAACTAAGGTTAATGTGAGAGATTTTGACTGGAAGTGGATGGATTGAATGTGGTTCTGCTCTAGGGTGACTTTAACCGACTGAGAACTTGGAATTCATGGGAGAGAAAGGTTTGTGAAGTTAGATGATCCCAAGGCCTATAGAAGAACACACACTGTCTCCCAGAGCTGATTAAAGGGATTGTAGCTCCTGGCAAGATAGAGATTTGGAGCTGGAAGAAACTTTAGACTGTCATCTCAAACTGTAGTGGGAAATTAGAGATTTGAAGAGACCGATGGGGTTGCAGGAAGATTTTATTTAAGTGATTACGGGCTCAGAGGAATTGCTTCCTAATTCTAAGCCAAGGACAAAGAACATGGGGTACCTTTTATGCGCCTAGGATGATGCAGCAGCAAATAGGTTTATAGAAGCCAGAACAAAGAACAGTTAATTAACTTGTAACATGTCTTGTGATGTGCTTTACATTTGAAAAGTAACATCTTGAGAAACACTTCTTGCAGTTTTTATCTGCTCTTTGACCTTGCAACTGGTCAGCAAGAAAAACAGGAATTTCTAGTTGCCTGGGAACTTTGCTAAGAATGTGGAGGGGATAAGATAAGGGTTAAATGGTTTGCAGGAAGGCAGTTTAATATTCTGCCTTAAACAGGGCTGGGGAGGTGTTAAACATCACACAACACAGCAAAATTTACTTTGTTGTATAGCAACTACAAATTACAAGGTTTTGTTTTACTGTTACTGCTATTTAATTTCCTTCTTCATAACAACTGATTTAGACTTCATCAAAGTATTTAAGGGCTTGAGGGATTGGAAAATATTTTTGAATCTGCTTTCCAGAACCTTTGGCTTCTAAAGCGAAGGGTGAACTAGAGGCTGAGAAACATCAAATTGAAGAACAAATATGCTGCTCAGTTAGGGAGAACTGGAGAATATGTTGGGAAAACTGGAGAATATGTTGGGAGAACTGGAGAATATGTTGTTCTGTAGAAGCTGCTTAGAGATAGTCATCGTATTCTGGGGAAATTAAAAAAAAAGAAAAACAATGACATGTGGCTTATGTAAAGAATTAAAAAGTAGGCCGAGCATGGTGGCTCAGACCTGTAATCCTAGCACTTTGTGAGGCTGAGGCGGGTGGATCACTTATGGTTAGGAGTTCGAGATCAGCCTGGCCAACATGGCAAAACCCTGTCTCTACTAAAAGACAAAACAAAACAAAAATCAGCAGGTGTGCTGGCGGGTGCCTGTAATCCCAGCTGCTCGGGAGGCTGAGGCAGGAGAATTGCTTGAAGGTGGAGGTTGCAGTGAGCTGAGATCACACCATTGCCTTCAAGCTTTGGCAGCTTATCCAGGCTGGAGTGAGTGGTGCAATCTGGGCTCATTGCAACTTCCACTTCCCAGGTTCAAGTGATTCTCCAGCCTTAGCCTCCTGAGTAACTTGGGATTACACGTGTGTACCAGGCTGGTCTCAAACTCCTGGGCTCAAAGGATCCTTCCACCTCAGCCTCTGAAAGTGCTAGGATTACAGGCATGAGCCACCACACCTAACATTAACTGTCTTTTAACTTTAGAGTTGCAAAACATTACGGAGGCTTTTCATTATTTTCCATCAGCATATATTATATTATTTGCCTCAGGATATATTGCCAAACTGTACCTGTAATTCCTGATGTAACATTAGGCCATAATAAATTATCCTGTTATCAAGAACATTTATTAGGTGTGTACTCTGTGGGCATGGTGTAGAAGTAGGCACAAGACATGGTCCCTGCTCCTCAGTAATTTACAGGTGTTGAGGAGTACACAGGACATCTCTTTCAATGACCTAATTCACTAAACATTTCCTGGGTACCCATTGTGTGCCAGCCTTTCCAGGAACTGGGGATACAGTGATGAACAGGACAGACAAGCGTCTACACTCTTGAAATTTATGTGCTGGGATCCTCAACACTTCACGTGCTAAATGACGAAAATTGTTCAGGACCTTACAAGAGGAGGTATTACTTTGCTGTGGTATGGTTGGAAGGTTGTACTGAGGGAGGAGGACTGGGGATGGATGGGCATGAGTGTTCATTTCCCAGTGTGTATTCTGTGGAACCTGCTATCAAAGATTTTTGTGGTCAGATAGATGGAAAACATGACCTACTTGGGATTGCGCAGAAGGCATCCCAAGAGCTGGAGAAATTAGATGAGGCAGTAGGGGAGAGGATATGGAATTTGAACTGTTTTTTACTGGGTAAAATTTTAAGAGTGAGGTTGGAGTAGAGGCTGAGTGAATTCTGTGAAAATGTGCAGGAAGCCTGAAGAGTACGGGCCATGTTGGGCGATACTGCCCAAAATGCACCTGTCTGCAGCCTCCCCTCCTACCCTTGCAGAAGCTACCTCTTGCTTTTGGCCCCACCACGTCACCTTTTCCTTTTTCTCCTTTCATAAAAACACCAACAAAAAGGCAAACCCTGTCTTTTGCTTCTACTTATCCCCCTTCATGGCCAAATTTCATAAGCAATCAACAGCTCACCAACTCCACATCCTCCCAACCCATTCATGCCTCAGCTGATTTCTCTTTTGTGTTACCCCATTGCTTCCCCCTTGCAGCTCTCACTGAGCCCCTTGTGATATTCATGCTGCTAAGTGTAATGAACGCTTCATGCTTTATTTCACTTCTCATAGTAATATAGGACTTTATTGCCCTCTTGAAACCTTGATTTTCCTTCTCTTTTTCCCCCTGCCAAGCCTCCAGGAAGTACAGAAAAAACATTTTCCTGACATCACACTCTTCCAGGTTTTCTCTTATTTCTCCCTCTGAGGAGGCCATTTCTTTTCAGTCTGCAATTTCTGTCTCTTGCTTCAATGGCTATTGAACTTTGAGGTGCCTCAAAGTCTCAATCCTAGGTTCTTTCCCTTTTTTCTCCATGTTCTTCCTACGCTGATCTCATCTGTGTTCAACTTTAGTTGCTTTGGTTATGATTTGTTCTCTGGTGACTCCCAAATTTGCTCTCAGCCCAGATGTTCTTCAGAGCTCTTGACTTTTGTGTCTAGCTGCCTAGTGTTGCAGTCACCTCAAACTCAGTATGTCTGATTCTGGGTTAATGATCTCTACCCCTGTATCCTAACTTAATAACCTTGTCCTGGTGCATGGAACGCCCATCCATCCAGTTATATAAGCTAGAAAATAAGTTATCTTTTTTTTTTTTTAATTTTGAGACAGAGTCTTGCACTGTCACCCAGGCTGGAATGCAATGGTGCGATCTCAGTTTACCTCAACCTCTGCCTCCCAGGTTGAAGCAAGTCTCTTGCCTCAGCCTCCTGAGTAGCTGGGACTGCAGATGTGAGCCACCATGTTGATTTTTGTATTTTTAGCAGAGACAGGGTTTTGCCTGAGGGTTTGTATCATTTAAGTTTAATTACCTGGAGATTTTAAACAGATCCTGAAATGATATATTGTAGGTAAATGGTGTCCAGCTAATGTCTTTAATTAAAATGAAATAGGTACATACATTTAAGTCCCTCCCTTTCGTCCACTTTAATACTTAAGGATAAAACAGGAAGCTCAGAATCTAACTGCATTGTTTTTGGTCTTCTTAGAGAGCCCTAATGGTCAACAGTGTTGGGTAAGAAAGTCATTGTTGAATAAGTTGTCATTCAGCTATGTCAATGACCAGGTTCTAGAAATGAAAAAAAAAAAAAAACAATTTATCTATTTTTTTTCCTTTGTGAATCATGCTTTTTAGGTCATGACTAGGAACTCCTCACCTAATCCCAGGTCACAACGCTTTTTCTCCTCTAAGAGTTGTATAGTTTTGTATTAGATCTCGGATCCATTTTGAGTTAATTTTTATATGTGGTCTGAAGCAAAGGTCAAGATTTTTTGTTAGGTTTTTTTTGGTCTATTGATGTCCAGTTGATCCAGCACTATTTGTTGAAAAGGCTGTCTTTCCTCGCTTGAATTGCTTTTGTATTTTTGTGTAAAATCAGTTGGGCATATTTGTAAGGGGCTATTTCTGTGATCTCTCTATTGTTCCATTGGTCTAGTTGGCTGTACCTCTGAAAATATCACAGTCTTAATTGCTATAGCTATGTAGCTTAAAATCAGGTAGGGTGATTTCTCCAACTTTATTTTTTTTGGTTGTTCATTATTTTAGTTATTCTAGTTCCTTTGCATTTCTATATAAAATGTAAGATTAACTTGTCTATATCTGTGAAAGATCTTGGGACTTTGATAAGAATTACGTTGGATTTATAGAACAGCTTGGGGAGAATTGGTATCTTTACTACGTCATAGTCTGCTGATGTCAATGGCTTACCACTTCAGCTAGAACATAGGAACCTTACCACGATTTAGGCCCCTTTATCCTCCCTACTTTATAGTTGGTTGTCTTAAATATCTCCTTTACATATGTTGAAAACCATATTAGACAATATTATACTTTTGGTTTTAATTATCTAATGTAATTTTTAAAACTCAAGCGGAGAAAGTCTAATAGTAGTACACTTGCCTATAAAGTTACTCTGCAACATTAGTTACTTTTTACTTCTAAAAGCTCTATTTAATTCTTTTAAAATTTATATTTTAGTAAGTTTCTTTCACTTGTGTTTATTTTTTCTTTCATTCTTGAGATAGGGTCTCACTCTCACTGGCTGGAGTGCAGTGGCACGATCATGGCTCACTGCAGCCTTGACCTTCTGGGCTCAGGTGATCCTTTTACCCCAGCCTCCCAAGTAGTGTATGCCACCACATCTGGCTAATTTTTTGTAGAGACAGTTTCTCACTATGTTGCCCAGGCTGATCTCGAAGTCCTGGACTCAAGTGATTTGCCCTCCTTGGTCTCCCAGGTGTGAGCTACTGCACCTGGCCCTTTTATTTCTTTATATATATATAGTTTATTTATTTATTAATATTTTTGAGACGGAATTTTGCTCTTGTTACCCAGGCTGAAGTGCAATGGTGCGATCTCGGCTCACCGCAACCTCCGCCTCCTGGGTTCAGGCAATTCTCCTGCCTCAGCCTCCTGAGTAGCTGGGATTACAGGCACGCACCACCATGCCCAGCTAATTTTTTTGTATTTTTAGTAGAGACGGGGTTTCACCATGTTGACCAGGATGGTCTCAATCTCTTGACCTCAGGATCCACCCGCCTTGGCCTCCCAAAGTGCTGGGATTACAGGCATGAGCCACCGCGTCCGGCTATATATATAGTTTAAAAATATTCTATATTTGTCTTTTTTTTTTTTAAGACCTGTACTGATATTGTACTACACTTTGCTATTTTTTTTCTTGGACTCAATCATAATGGCTCTTTCCTTATTTGTTTTGTAAGGATTTAGCAGGATTTAGACTGTAGGCGTATTCTGAAGTAAATAGTTCTGAGAGGGTTTTTTGGTTCAGCCATGGGTGCTACCAACCTAGGATCACTTTAAATTCATTTCTATACTTGGGGTTAGTTAGCTGGACTTTACTGTATGACTGCAATATTGGGTTCTGAATGTTCAGAGGAGACTCTCCTATGGAGCCTAGGTCAAAGAGATGTGTGATTTTTTTTCCCTTCACCAGCAGGTATATTTTTTCCAGCCTATTATCTCACTGAGATTGTCCTCCTTCAAGGGTTTTAGTTTTTTTTCAAGGGGCTCACTTCCACCTCTCTACGTCTTGTATCATCAGGCCGTAGCATCTTCTGTGCCTCTGCAGCTTTAAACCGCTCTTGATGCTAGCACCAGAAGGTGCTCCCAGGATCTCTGTAGCCTCAGTTTCTACTTTTTCTGTTGTTTAGCTCCTACTTGATTTTTAGCTCCTGGGGATTTTCTTTTCTTTCTTGAGAACTCAACTGTGCATTTAAAAAGAAACTGCTAATACTTTGTTTAGCAGTTATAGGAATTCAGTATCAGCAGGTTTTTCAGATATTGACTCCACTATGTTACTTGAAATAGAAGATTCTGACACACAGTTTCCAAACCATTCAATAAAGTATAGATTATTGGGTCCCAGGAGGGACTCACTCCTGGCTTCTTCAAAATTGGTCACTTGGGACAAAAGTTTCTTCTGTCTCTCGGGAGGGGCACCTGTCCTTAAAAGGAAGAAGCGCAGGCATCAGTGCTCTCACATCTGCCGAGCAAGAAGAGGTTCAAGCAGGAAGGGAGTGTTCGACTGTGTCAAGTACTACAGCAAGGTCAAGTAAGATCAAGACTGAAAATTGACAGTGGGATTTCACAATTAGGATGTCTTTGCCAGAGAAATCCCGTGGAATTGGGAAGATGGTCTTTGGTCCAGGCAGTTCCTGTTTTTCTCAGGAAGAGTGACTTCTTTTTTATCAGTATGTGGTTGTTTATTTTATGCTCTCTTATTTTAATACTGTCTAGCTTCCACTCTTGCCTTAGATAGATTAGCTGTATCTTTCATAGAAACTGGATTCAGTCATAGAGTGTAGGACCTATCCTATATATACTTATCCTTAAAGCTTTTGTGTATATCTCAGGTGAGGTCATCAGAAGGAAGAACTGAATAGGTAAGAGCTGAGCTGGGGTATAAAAGTAAGAGAAAGAGTATATGAGGTATTGTCAGTTTTAACGTGAAGCCTCTATTATGTGGAGTTTTAAAAAAAGTATGAAAAATTTCAATCATACAAAAGTAGAGAGAATAGTGCATTGAGAGAATACTGCATAACCCAAATTTAATACTTTTTGTACATATGTCATGTTTATCTTTCTTTTGCTGAAATATTTGAAAGGAATCCTGACATTATTTATGTACAATCTGAACATTTTCACATGTAGTCAAAATGCTGTTATCACACCTAATATAAAACTGATTCTTTACTACGATACATAGACTATGGAGGCTTTTTATTTTAAAGTTCTTTGAACATGCTGAGATTGTTTCTCTTTTTCTGTCTTTGTATTTGTCATACTGTCTGTCTAGGTGACTCTAGTCTGTGACCTCCACATGGCGGCCTTAGTGCCAGCATTATTTCCTCAGTAAAGGCTTTGCTGATGACTGAAACTAAAGTAGTGTCCATTTTCCCACCCTGTTGGCCACTGCCTCCTCGCTGTTTGGTTGCCTGTGTACTTGCTTAATGTGTGTCTCCTCCCCGTAGATTGTAAGCACCATGAGAGTAGGGACCTGGTGTGTCATGGTTATTGCTCTATGCCCAGGGCCTGAAGCAAGCCTAGCATACAGTAAGGAGGCAAAGGTTTAGAACAAGTCAGCTATTAGATTAATGAAGATTCCAAAATTTGCTTAATATTTTATAACCATTATCTCTTCCTACAACTGATTTTTCTTCCAGAGTTTTTCTTTTCTCAAGAGCTTTAACCAACAGCTGTGTTTGCAAAAAGTGCTGGGCTGTTGTCCCTTTCAGGACATTTAATCTTTTAAATCTTCAAAATATTTTGTAAAATTTAAGTGAGTAAAGTCACTGCTGACCTGTTAAGAGGCAGTTTTTACTGACATAACTCTCATTTGAGATCACTTTATTTGAGCTTGCAGCTAACAAATCTGTTTTGGCTCACGTGAAACAGGATGGAATGATCTTGTAGTCCACATAGCCTTTAATTGATTATTTGAAGTTCATTTATTTAGTGCGTCATTTGTATTCCATGTTAGGGGGTATGTTAAAATTGTTACGTTGTTGTTAGAAATATGCTTTAGCATGAGAAAAAATGTAATTCAGTAAAACAGGTATGATCTATAATTAGACTTGGATTCTGTTGAAAAACCTAATTTCAGACCTATAAAAGAGATGAGAGAATGGTACAAAGAATTACTCTGTATTCTTTTTTTTTTTTTTTTTTTTTTGAAACAGAGTTTCATTCTGTCGCCAGATGCCAGGCTGGAGTGCAGTGGCGCGGTCTTGGTTCATTGCAACCTCCACCTCCTGGGTTCAAGCAATTCTCCTGCCTCAGCCTCCTGAGTAGCTGGGACTACAGGTGCACACCACCACACCCAGCTAATTTTTGTATTTTTGGTAGAGATGGGGTTTCACTATGTTGGCCAGGATGGTCTTGATCTCTTGACCATGTGATCTGCTTGCCTTGGCCTCCCAGAGTGCTGGGATTACAGGCGTGAGCCACTGCGCCTGGCCTCTTTTTTTTTAAATATAATTTTAATTATACATTTTTAAATTTTTAAAAAATATTTTTAAAGGGGCTTTCTGGCAAAAACCGGAAGCCTGCTAGACAAATTCTAAAAGAGCTGTAACATTTACTCTGTATTCTTTACATGATTCTCCAGTGTTAATATTTTACCCTCTTAGCCTTTTTTTTTTTTTTTTTTAAGACAGGGTTTCACCATGTTGGCCAGGGTGGTCTTGAACTCCTGACCTCAGGCAATCCACCCACCTTGGCCTCCCAGAGTGCTGGGATTACAGGTGTTAGCCACCGTGCCCAGCCAGCCATCCTCTTTTATAACATTATGCAGTTGTCAGAATCAGGGAATTAACATTGATATATTATTAACCAATAGATTTTATTCAAATTTCCCAATCATGCCCTTTTCCTTTCTTATATGAAAAGAAAATTTAGGATCATGAATGGCATGGAATTGTCATGTGTCTTTAGTCTCCTTTTTGAAATGGTTTTTCCTTTCATGATTTTAACATTTTTGAAGATTATAGGCCAGTTATACCACAGGGCCAGTTTTTAGCAGGTCCCTCAATTTGGGTTTAACTGACTGTCTTAGTTTGGATTCTGTTGCTATAACAGAATGCTATAAACTGGGTAATTTATAAGAAAAGGAAATTTATTTCTCACAGTTCTGGAGCCTGGGAAGTCCAATGGTAAGGTGTTGACATCTGGTGAGAGCCTTCTTGCTGCATCATCCTATAGTGGAAGGCATAAAGGCAAGAGAGCAAGAGTAGAGAGGGCCAAACTCACTTTTTATCAGGAACTAGTTTCTGTGATAATAGCCTTAATTCATTCATGATGGTAGAGCCCTCATGGCCAAATTTCTTCTTTTTTTTTTTTTGCGATGGAGTCTTACTCTGTTGCCTAGGCTGGAGCGCAGTGGTGCAGTCTCCACTACTGCAATCTCTGCCTCCTGGGTTCAAGTGATTCTCCTGCCTCAGCCTCCCAAGTAGCTGGGACTACAGGTGTCTGCCACCACAACCAGCTAATTTTTGTATTTAGATGGGGTTTCACTATGTTGGCCAGGCTGGTCTCAAACTCCTGAACTTGTGATCTGCCCTCCTTGGCCTCCCAAAGTGCTGGGATTACAGGCATAAGCCACCGCGCCCAATGCCAAATTCCTTCTTAATGATCCCACCTGTTAATACCATCACCATGACAATTAAGTTTCAACATAAATTTTGGAGGGGACATTCAAACCATAGAACTGATGTTTCAAAACCGACATGTTTTTTCTTCATGTTTCATATCAGGAGACGTATGATGTTGATTTGGCTCATTACATGAGTTTACTTTGATCACTTGGTTAAGGTGTGTCTGTCACATTTTTCCAGAATCAGGATAGATTTTCCTCTTTGTGTTTACATAATATTTTTGAGGATACTTTGAAACTATTTAAAATTCTATTACCTCTTAAACTCTTACCCACTAATTTTAGATTTCATTGATGAATACACATTAAGTAGTATGATGATGATGGCCAGTGGTAATTTTCTAATTCCATTGTTTTTCCTAGATTTATCAGTTGCAATACTGCTGTAACGAATGGCTTCTCCTTTTCACTTACTTGTTTTTGTCTTTTTATCAGTAGGAACTTATGGGTTTCTTATTTAGTCAGTTATAAAATTTTAATACTTAAATGGTTATATGTTTGGCCAGTAGCAACCTTTTCAGAGGGCTCCTGTGAACTTTTGACATCTCCTCATCATTTTTTGAGTATTGTTTTACTTTCTGGAATAGCAAGATATTCTAGGCCAGGGCTTGGCAAACTTTTTCTGTAAGTGGCCAGATAGTTAATATTTTCGACTTTATAGACCATACAGCCCCTCTTGCAACTGTTTAACTCTGCCCTTGCAGTATGAAAGCAGCCATAGATAATATGTAAACTAATGAGCTTGGCTGTGTTTCAGTAAAAGTTTATTTATATAAACAAATGGATGGACTGTAGTTTGCCAACCCCTCTTCTAGGCTCATGTTTGTACGTTTCTACCTCAGTCTCAGAACTGGCCATTTTTCCATTGGTTACTTTAGTGATGAATGGTGTTTAGAAACAGATCTAGGCACTAGATATGCTCATTGCTACTGGAATGTCATTGATTCTAGTCCCTTTCAGTAGACAAAGCTAGGGAATATAAGAATATATTTTTACATGCTGTGTGCATTTGTGTTTGTATATAGGTGCATCTGTATTTCTCTGTATTATAAACCACTGTGTTATATATTGATTTCTCCAATTCCATTTCAATTCTAGCCTTTCCACTTTTCCATATTTGTAATTTTTTTTCTCCAACATTGACAAACTTGGCTCCTTATCTATAAGTATTTACTTATTTGTTCAATCTAGGATATATAGAAAGCAATTTCAGAATTGCTAAGTTATACCTCTATAAAAAACAAACCTATTAACCAGAGTTTAATCTTTATTTATGCTTCTTTTTTGTTTTTAGCCACAAGGTTTTGTTAAATACTGTACCCCACGGTTACCTGGGTTAGTGTGCCACCCCTGTTGCCCCCATTTCTTCCTGCCCTCTAATGTATTGTGATTTATTTATTTCAGGTGAAGATTTATTTTTAATTAAGCAAAAATTACATATTTTGATGTTGTGCAGCATGATGTTTTGTTATATGTATGCATTGTGCAATGACTAGATCAAGCTACTTAACATATCCATTACCTCATATACTTATCATTTTTTTTGTGATGAGAACACTTAAAATACATTCTCATAGCAATTTTGAAGTATACCTGGCCTCTAGATACCCACAGCGGTTTGGTTCCGGGACCCCTACAGCTACCAAAATCTGTGGATGCTCAGGTACCTTATATAAAATGGTAAGGCATTTGCATATAACCTATGCTCATCTTTCTATAGACTTTAAATCCTCTCCAGATTACTTATAATACGTAAAACAATTTAAATGGTATGAAAATAGTAGTTATACTGTATTTTTAAATTTGGATTCTTTTTAAAATTGTTGTATTTTTATTGTTTTTTTTTCCCCCAGATATTTTAAATCTGAATCATAGATACAGAACTCATGGATATAGAGGGATGACTGTATACAATCAATATGTTGTTATTAACTATAGTTGCTTTGATGTACAATAGATCTCTTGAACTTACTCCTCCAGTCTTATTGAAATCTGTGCCTTCCCTCCCTCCCTCCCTCCCTCCCTCCCTCCCTCCCTCCCTCCCTCCCTTCCTTCCTTCCTTCCACCATGTTGCCCACACTGGTCTCCAACTCCCGAGCTCAAACAATTCTCCCACCTTGGCCTCCCAAAGTGTTGGGACTACAGGCATGAGTCACTGCACCTGGCATCCTTTTTTTATTTGTTTTTTGTTTGTTTGTTTGTTAAACTGAATGGTATTCCATTGTGTATATATACCAGATTTTGAAAATCCATTCATCCTTACTGAGCATTTAGGTTGATTCCATGTATTGGCTATTGTGAATAATGCTGTAATGAACGTGGGAGTGCAAATGTCTCTTTGTGAGACATTTGTGAAATCAGTGAAATGTATTGATTTCATTTCCTTTGAGTAGATACCCAGAAGTGGAATTCCTGGATCATAGGGTAGTTCTATTTTTAATAATTTTGAGAAACCTCCAAACTGTTTTCCTTAATGACTATAGTAATTTACATTTCTATAACCCAACAGTGTGTGAGGGTTGGGTTATAGAACTCCACATCCTTGCTAACATGTGTTATCTTTTGTGTTTCTGATAATAGTCATTCTAGCAGGTATGAGGTAATATAATATCTCAGTGTGGTTTTAATTTGCATTTTCCTAATGATTCGTGGTATTGAGCATTTTTTCATATACCTGTTGGCCATTTATTAGTCTTCTGAGAAATGTTTAGTTAGGTCCTTTTCTGATTTTTAAATTGGATTATTAGATTATTTGTTTTCTTGCAAATGATTGAGTTCTTTGTGTATTTTGGATATTAGCTCTTTATTAGATATATGGTTTCCAAATATATTCTCTCATTCATTAACTGGTCTCTTTGCTTTGTTGATTGTTTCCTTTGCTTAACAGAGTCTTCTTAGCTTAATGGAATCCCATTTGTTTTTTTTTTTTTTTTTTTGCTTTTGTTGCCTGTGCTTTTGGGTTCATAAGGGGAAAAAAAAGTCTTTGCCCAGATTAATTTCATGGAACTTTACCTCCATGTTTTTTCCCAGTAGTTTTCAGTGTCAGGCCTTACATTTAAATCTTTAATTTGTTGGGTTTTTTTTTTTTTTTTTTGAGATGGCGTTTCAATCTTGTCACCCAGGTTGGAGTGCAGTGGCCCTATCTTGGCTTACTGCAGCCTCTGCCTCTGGGATTCAAGCATTCTCCTGCCTCAGGCTCCCAAGTAGCTGGGCTTACAGGCACGTGCTACCACACCCAGCAAATTTTTGTATTTTTAGTAGAGAAGAGGTTTAGCCATGTTGGCCAGGTTGGTCTTGAACTCCTGACCTCAGGTAATCCACTCACGTTGGCCTCCCAAAGTGCTGTGATTACAGGAGTGAGCCATCGCGCCCGGCCTCCTTTAATCCATTTTGACTTGGTTTTTGTTTATGGTGTGAGATGAGTGTCTAATTTCATTCTTCTGCATATAGGAATCCAGTTTTCTTGGTACCAATTATTGAAGAGATTGTCCTTCCTCCACTATGTATTCTTGGCATCTTTTTGAGGGCCAATTGATTAAAAATGTGTGTTTTTATTTCTGGGCCTTATATTCTGTTCCACTGCTCTCTGTGTGTGCTTTGATGCCAGTACTATGCTGTTTTGATTACTGTAGGCTATATTTTGAGATCAGGTAGTGTAATGCCTCAGACTTTATTCTTTTCACTCAAGATTGCTTTGCTTATTTGGGATCTTTTGTGATTCTATATTAATTTTAGGATTGTTTTTTCTATTTTTGTGAAAAATGTCATGGAATTTTGTTGGCGATGATATTGAATCTGTAGATTGCTTTGGGTAGTAAGGACACTGTTGTAATATTCCGCAATCCATGAACATGGGATATTTTTCCATTTTTTTGTTGTCTTCTTCAGTTTATTTCGTTAACATTTGTTGTGTTTTTCATTTTAAGCATAGTTAGCATAATTCCTTTCTTTTTTTTTTTTTTTTTTTTTTTGAGATGGAGTTTCGCTCTTGTTACCCAGGCTGGAGTGCAATGGCGCGATCTCGGCTCACTGCAACCTCTGCCTCCTGGGTTCAGGCAATTCGCCTGCCTCAGCCTCCTGAGTAGCTGGGATTACAGGCATGCGCCACCATGCCCAGCTAATTTTTTGTATTTTTAGTAGAGATGGGGTTTCACCACGTTGACGAGGATGGTCTTGATCTCTTGACCTCGTGATCCACCCGTCTCAGCCTCCCAAAGTGCTTGGATTACAGGCGTGAGCCACCATGCCTGGCCAATTACCCTATGTTTGACATTTTGATATTGATCTGTAAGTCCATAATACTTTGTTCAGTCTTTTAAAAAAATTATTTATTTATTTATTTATTTTTTATTTTTTAGAAAAAAACACAGAGCTTTATTATTCTCAACATCAGCGGCAGCGGTCTCTGTAGGACAGGGGAGTGAGTTCTGTTGACTGACAGGGATAGGTGGCTCCTACTTGCCGGCGATAAGCGGATTCCGCAGGACCACGATGACCGAGTCCCCACGCAGGAGCATCTTGGAGATGTAGCGGTCTTTGTTGACTGGCTTGGACTTCTTCTTGCCCTTGCCGCTCTTGGGTACCTCAGTCCACATCTCCTTCACGTTCTCCAGCACCATGTTGCAGTGCCTATCAAAGGCCTTCACGCGGCCCAGGAGTTTCTTATTGTTGAGGCAGTTGATGAGCACTTGGGTGTTGTTCTTGACGGACTGAGTGAGCACAGAGAGTGGACCCGTGTTAAATTCCTCCTCCTCTCGCTTCTGCAGCTCCTCTGGGGTCATCTCACTCTTGGGCTTGTTGAGGAGGCTCATGTTGGTGGCTAAGCTCTCGTTTCACTCCGGTTTCATCCGCGTTGCTGCTGCCTCTTTTTTATTTTTATAATAAGGATGGGGTTTCACCATGTTGGTCAGGCTGGTTTTGAACTCCCAACCTCAGGTGATCTGCCCGCCTTGGCCTCCAAAGTGCTTGGATTACAGGCATGACCTACTATGCCCTGCCCAGCCTTCTTTCTCATTTTTCAGGTTGTATAATTTCTGTTGACAAAGTTTAAGTTACCTGAGTGTTTATTCTTTTACCTCTATTTTGCTATTGAGCTTATCCATTGAATTTTTTGTTTCAGATATTGTATTTATTAGTTTTAAATTTCTATTTTTTTTTTTCTTTTTGAGACTGGATCTCACTCTGTTGCCCAGCCTGGAGTGCAGTGGTGTGATCTTGGCTCACTGCTACCTCCACCTCCTAAGCGCAAGTGATCCGTCCACCTCAGCCTCCTGAGTAGCTAGGACTACAGGCATGTGCTACCACATCCAGCTAATTTTTGTGTTCAGACTCCATCTCAAAAAAAGAAAGAAAAGAAAGAGAGAGAAAGAGAGAAAGATAGATAGATCACTTTATAAAATATATTCTATGTTGTAGGTGAAACATGGAGTGAAGAAAAGAGATTGGTGAGTGAGAGACCTGCTAAGAAACTATTGCCATCTTTATGGTACATACATAGTTGTAACAACCTGAATTCAGACAGTTCTAATTAAGTTGGAAAGGAAGGAATCTATTTAGGACATGTTTTGAAGATACAATAGACAAAATTTGGTAATACAGTACTAAGGGAGAAAAAGAGATTAGATGTCTACTGTAACTGCCCAGGGATGATGATGATGTCATTAATCTGGATGTAGTACGCAGGTATTGAGGAGAATAATAAGTTGAGTTAGAAACATGTTGCATTCAAAGTACTTGCTAGTATTACTCAGCAGGATGTTGGAAAGTTAAAGAAGAGCTTTGAAGAGCAGAGCTGGAGATGATTTAAAACTCTTTAAAAGAGAGGTATAAGAGTAGAATCTTGTATATGGTAGAAACTGAAGAGGTAAGTGAAAAAAAGAGAAGTCTGTAAGGAAATCTGTGAATTGTAGAGACAGAGATGAACCAGTAGACTGGTGTGTCCTGGAGGCCAAGAGTGAAGAATTTGTATTAGAGAGAGCTAGCTGCTCAGTGGCATCCTGCACAAAAAACGAGCAAACCGAGAGAATACCATTATTTAAGTAGTGAGGATTTTCCTCCCTAGGAAAACAGAAAGCTTTATTTCATTGTAGAGATGAGGATAGAAGTTATATTCCAAAAGAGATTAAAGAGTATATAATGGGGGAAATAGAGGTAGTAAGTCCAGACCACATTTTTAAACTTTGGTAGGGATGGAAATGAGAGAAATGGAATGATAGCTGGTAGCTGGAAGTGGGCAGATGGGTAGGAGAGCCAGGTTCTTATTTTGGTTGTGTGCTATTGGGAATACCCCAGTGGCAAGAATAATGGGTGTGTTAAAGTTCTAGAGTAGATTAAAATAGGATGAAGAACACACATTAAGAGGGTTAGGTTATAAATATGTAGGGACATTTCCACCTCTAAAATAGAAAGGAGAGAGAGGATAGGTGGTGGTATGGAGGTGTTTTGTCTGGGAGAAGAGTGAGTCCATATAGGAGAGAGCTGGGAACAAGAGAGTTAAGAGTGAGGTTGATACTTCCACTCTCAGTTATGGCACTGGGTGTGGTGGCTCATGCCTGGAATCCTAGCACTTTGGGAGGCTGAGGTGGGTGGATGACTTGAGGTCAGGAGTTTAAGACCAGCCTGTCCACCAGGGTAAAACCCTGTCTCTACTAAACATACAAAGATTAGCCAGGCAGGGTGGTAGGTGCCCATAACCAGCTACTTGGAAGGTTGAGGCAGGAGAATCACTTGAACCCAGAAGGCAGTATAGTGAGCCAAGAGTGCAGTTTATGCCACTGCACTCTAGCCTGGGAGACAGAGCAAGACTCCATTTCAAAAAAGAAAATAATTGGAATCCAATCTTTCTTGAGACAGCAACTAGAACCACAAGCCAAATCCAGCCCTTCCTCTCAAAGTATTAAGAAATACTTTGAAAGTGTTTGAGAGGTAATAAGAGTGTGTCTAGAAGGGAATAAAGGCTTAGAGATATAAGGTTAGTATTTGGGACTGTTTTTCTTCAGTGAATATTTGCTAAGTTTTTTTGAGGGATCAGCTGAAAAACTGAGCAGTACTCTTTTTTCTTCTTTTTTTTGAGACAGGGATTCACTTTTGCCACCTAGACGGGAGTGCAGTGGCCCAGTCTCGGCTTACTGCAACCTCCACCTCTCAGGCTCAAGTGATTCTCCTGTCTCAGCCTCCTGAGTAGCCAGTACTACAGGTGTGCACTACTACACCTGGCTAATTTTTGTATTTTTTGTAGAGACAGGGTCTCGCTATGTTGCCCAGGCTGGTCTCGAACTTCTGGCCTCAAGTGACCCACCCACCTTGGCCTCCCAAAGTGCTGGGATTATAGGCGTGAGCTACTGCTCCTGTGAGTAGTACATTTGATCGCCTTTTAATGCCAGAAGGATAGGAATTGGAATTTAGGGCCTGCTAATGTGGGTTGTATGTGATCTTGGTGAATCACTCTTATTTGGCATTGGTACCCGAAGGGCCACAGCCTAGAAATAGGGGTGAGTTGGATGTAGATAGGCCCTCATGGGGACTATAGCTCCACTTTGAATACCTTTAAACCCTGAAAATAGATTGAGGTAATTTATTATCTCAGGTGCTTGGCAGAAGCAAATGTAAATTCTGTTTGGAAGGTAACATTACTACTTGTTAATGTTACCATAAACATTCTGTAAATATAATGTCCAGCTCATAATTTAAAAAAATCAGGCATGGCATGATCACATAGCACACACAAAATTAAGTACAAGCAACAGAAGATAGTATTGATCCATAGGGCCTTCTGATATTAGAGTTTTTAGGAGCAAACTTTATTTACTATGCTTACCTTGTTCAAATATGAAAGACAAGATTCAGCATTCTTGGCAGAGAACTAGAAATTTGAAAAAATGAAAATTTTAGACTTGAAAACATAACTGAAATTGGGAACTTAATGGATGGGTTTAACAGGATTAGACAGAGCTAAAGGGAGAATTAGTGAAGTGGAAAAATTCAGAGAAAAAAGGATGAAAAATACTGAAGAGATTGAGGGAGACACAGAGACGTTGAGGAGATCAAAAGTGTGTAATTGGAATCCTGGAAAAGAGTTGAGACAGAATGGGCAGAAGCAATATTTGAATAGAGAATGGCTGAAAACTTTATAAAAAAAGTTCTAAGACTTATTAAAGTTATTAAGTAACAAGATTCCAGAAACCTTATTAACACCAAGCAGGATAAAAAAGAAATCCATACCCTGGTCTAGTGTAGTAAATCTGTGGAAAATCAAATATAAAGAGAAAAATTTCAAAAGCTGCTGGGTTGGTGAGAAAAAATGTTATACTTTCAAATAATTGACAATATATTAATGGCTGACTTCTCAATGAAACAACGGAGGCTGTAAGACAATGGAGTGTGATACCTTTAGAGTATGATAGTAAATAACTGTCTTCAATTTTAAAACTAAGAAAGGCTGAGTGTGGTGGCTCACATCTATAATCCCACCACTTTAGGAGGCTGAAGTAGAAGGATTACTTGAGCCTAGCAGTTTAAGAGCAGCCTGGGCAATGTAGACCACATATCTTCAAAAAATAAATAAAAAATTAGCTGGATGTGGTGGTGTATATCTGTAATCCTAGCTACTCAGGAGGCTAAGGTAGGAGGATTGCTTGAACCTAGGAGTTTCCAGATACAGAGCTATGATTGTGCCACTGCACTCCAGTCTAGTTAACAGAGTGAAACCCTTTCTATACAAAAATAAACCCAACCTCCTCCCCAACAAACCTGAGAGAATATCCATTACGAATAAAGATGAAATACAAATGTTTTAAACTTGACAGTGTTTCAGTTGTACTAGTCATTCTAAAATTTCTCCAAAGACAAAGCTAGTGGCTACCATATTGGCCAACTTAGATAAAGAATACTTTCATCATATTAGGAAGGGCAGGTATTAAGAAAATACAAGAGGATATTTTGAACAACATTCTACTCCCACTATGAAACATTAGCTGAAATTGAGGAATTCCTTTAGAAATACAAATTAATAAAATTGATTCAAGAAGAAAATTTTTAAATATCAACTGTCTTATCTGTTTGAAAGTTTTAATTTTTCTCTTCTGATGCCTTTCTTTGGCTATTGTATCAAGGGAATACTGCCCTCACAGAATGAGTTCTCTATTTTCTGGAAGAGGTAAAGGATTGATAATCTTTTTTTCGATGTTTGGTAGAATACACAAGTGAAGACATTTGAGCCTGAAGTTTTCTTTATTGGAAGATTTTAAATTAATAATTCAGTTTCTTGTTATATGTCTATTCAGATTTTCTAGTTTTTCTTCTTCTTCTTCTTTTTTTTTGAGACAGGGTCTCACTCTGTCACGTGGGCTGGAGTTCAGTGGTGTGATCACAGCTCACCACAGCCTTGATCTCCCAGGCTTAGGTGATTCTCCCACCTCAACCACCAGAGTAGCTGGGCCTACAGGCACATGCCACCATGCCCATCTAATTTTTTGTACTCTTTTTTTTTTAAAAAAACAGAGTTGGGGTTTTGCCATGTTGCTGTGGCTGTTCTTAAACTGCTGGACTCAAGCAATCTGCCTGCCTTGGGATTACAGGTGTGAGCCACTGCGCCTGGCCAAATTTTCGATTTCTTTTTTACTCAATTTTAGTAATTTTTGTTTCTGGGAATTTGTCCATTTTTTAAAAGTTGTTTATTGTATTCCTTTATAATCCTTTTAATTTCTGTAAGGTTTGTAGAGATGTCCTTTCTTTCATTCCAATTCTGTGGTCACCCTGTGGAGGTAGAAAGTGCCCCTCCCAATTAATAGGTAGGATGTCTATGCTGGAAGCACTCCATACATCAAGAAAATTTGAGAGAAATTTTATTATTCACCCAAGAGACTTCTGGGGATGGTAGGGTTAGTACAAGTGGGTCTGGCCTGCCTTGAGTTAGACCGAGGGAATGGGCTATTTCTTTATAATGGCTAGGGTGCTGGGGAGTTCCCATGTGCAGGCTGAGGATTGGCAAAACTTGAATTTTCTGCTGGGGCCAAAGGCCAGGCACATGTGGATGTTCTTATTAGCCTGCTTAGTTGTGGGTTCAAAAGGGGAAAAGTGAGGTGAGGCTGAACATAAGTCAGTGATCAAACATAAAAAATTTAACGAATGGAATGAGACTGATTACAGTTCTTGACTTTGGAATTAAAAAAAAATTTTTTTGTACTTCTTTTCTTCAGGTTATATAATCTTAATTGATCTACCTTCAAATTTATTGGTTATTTCTTCTGTCAGCTTAATTCTCCTCTTGAGCTTCTCTAGTGAATTTTTCATTTCAGTTGTCTTTCTACTTGAAATTTCCACTTGGTTCTTTTTTATAATTTCTCTTTGTTGATATTCTCTGTTTGCTGAGTCATTGTCATCATAGTTTCCTTTATTTTAAAAGTGTTTTCTTTTAGTTCTTTGAACATATTTATAATAGCTGCTTTGAAGTCCTTATTGCCTAACTTCAAAATCTCTGCTCCCCTAGAGACAGTTTTTATTGAAACTGTTCCCCTTCCATGTATGGGTCACACTTTCCTGTTTCTTTGCATATCTTATGAAAACTGGATATAGATATATATTTTTAGGCATTGAAGAATCAGAAAACTGGATATTTTTGATAATATATTCTGTATTTTGATTCCCTTATCCCTAGAGTTAGATGGGGTTGCTCTTTATTTAGTGACTTGGATGGACTAATTAATTCCATGGAGTCTGTTTCTCCATGAAGTGTTTGTGTGACTGCTGATGTCTCTGCTTAGTTCTTCCTTTCTTGTTTTTATTTTTTAGTATGACTGTCAAGTATTTGCCCTCTGGGTCAGCATATCTTAGTGGGCAGCCTATGATTGGTCAGAGGTTGTGTTTAAATTCCTTGAAACAATGAGTTTCCCTTTGTTAATGGTTTTGTGAGGATTGGGGCATGCATTCAAAGTTCAGAAAGTCTGCTCTGGGTTTTGTGTTTTCCATTTGCAAGGTCTTATCTTTTTCCAGTGATAAGTAGCTTGCTGTGGCCCTGTCATTTCTTTCCTTCATGTTTACAGTCTTGTAATGTGCACAGTCTTCAGACCAGCAGGAAAAAACAGATTTTTATCAAGGCGCAGGTTGGCTGTCTCATTTCTTTAGTTCTCCATGTTAAATTTCTGGTTTGTCTGCTGATGTGTTGCTTGCCCTGACTGGTATTGCAAACTCAGGTTAGCTGTAATATTGGATTTCCCTCATTTTTTGCCCTTGAAATCACTTTTGTTTTTGACAATGCTTATGGTCATGGAATTCTTCTCCAGATAAATTTATCTCCCTCTGGCAGTGGAGCTGCCAGTCATCACAGCTTGTCCTAGCTTCTGCACCAAGAAATTGGGAGGAGTGTGGGATGATAGGCGCTCCAGGCTAACATACCATACACTTTTCCCTGTTCTTACCAAGATTCAGTAGATTTTCTTAGACCGGCACTTCTCAATTTGTTGTAAACTTTTTGATTAATTAAGATCTTTAAATAGTTTTAACAATGTTGTAAGTTTTATTGTTGCTTTAGGGGTTAATATTTGTCAAACTCCTCATTCAACCGTCTGGATGTCCTTTCCCCTGCCCCCTCCCTTTCCCTCTTGCTTTCCTCTTTGTATGTGTCTCTCTGTCTCTGTCTCTCATTTTTGAACATTTAAATTTTATTCAAACTAAAATTTACTTTGGAATATGTTAGGTGTAAGGCTGGTCGCCTCGCTGGGAGCTCGGACACGCCCATACCTCTCCGCGCCTAGAGATTACGTCACCACTCCGCGCCTGGCACCAAGCTCTGCACTCAGCACCTAACCCGCCGTTGAAAAACCCCGCCAAACTTTAAAAGAAGCCCCACCAAAACCTGCCCAATAGCAGTTTGTCATGTCCACGTCCCGCTTCCCCTGGGCAGCTCGCTCACCAGAAATCCCGCCTATCTACCAATAACAGCTCGCTCCATCCACGTCCTGTTCCCTCATAGCCAATCAGGACACCCTCACTCACTATAAAAACCCATGCTTCAGGAAGTCGAGCATGGCTTCCCTAGCCTCTTTCCCCGAGACCATGAAACCTCGCCCAGGAGTTAAATAAAATAGCATTTAATTTTCTTATGCTAGTCTCAGTTTCCTCATTCTAAACTCAGCAATAACCCTTACATTATGAAGTAGGGAGTTGTTAAGTAGTGTCTTAATACTACTTGTTGATTAATCCATTGCTTCTCACTGATTTGTAAGATAAATGGTTTATTTTTCTAATCTTGTTGAGATTTATTTTAGTCTTGTCCATTTATTTAAATTAATCAATAATCATCTTTTGCTTGTTTTTCCCATCTCTTGCTTTCCATTGGCTCATCTTTTTCTCTCTTTAAAACTGTCTTTGGAGTTTATCTCTTTGAGTTTCTTTTGCTATCTGGGTTCATACATTCCATTTGCTCTTGATACTCATAAGTACTGAGGCTAGGCTAACACAAGTGGGATGTGTAAGGCACAAACATTCTAGGAAGCTCTCACTCCTGGGTCCTGCAAGTGTGGGATTGGTACTTGTAGGACTTTGCATTTTCAAATTTTGCACCCTAGCTGCCTGGCTTGCCCCATTGTAGTCCTGGCCCTGGTTACTCATACTTCTCACATGCATATATTTGTTGTAACCTGACTTCTGCCCCAAATAGGCTTCATTTATTCAAATTTTTGAGCATCTGCTATATACTATGCATTGTGCTAGGTTTTGGGGAATATAGAGGGTCTGAAGACACCGTTTATTTCACCCAGGAGCTTTCTTCAGATTTGCTCTTGGCTCTAGTGCCTTTTCCCAATTCCTCATTCTTCCTGCCTTTTTGTACCATGTAATGCTATTGACAACTATTGCCTGTTCATCCTAATGTCATCCCAGCTCTTAACAATGTATAGCTATTTCCATGGTAGGACACTCTTTCTAGGGACCAGTGGGCAGTTGGGCAGTGTATCAGTGACTCTCATTCTGGAAGTTAGTACGGATTGGAAACTGACCTGTGCTTTCAGTGTATCAGGGTAGGAGTGCCCAGGGACTTCTTCAGGCTTAATGGCCCTTTGTAACTATGTCACAGGGAATCGAATATTGCTTGTTTGTTCATTTTCTTTTTTGAGACAGAGTCTCATTCTGTCACCCAGGCTGGAGTGGCATGATCTCAGCTCACTGCAACCTCCACCTCCTGGATTTAAGCAATTCTTGTGCCTCAGCTTCCTGAGTAGCTGGGACTACAGGCCTGTGCCACCATGCCCAGTTAATTTTTTTGTGTTTTTAGTAGACATGGGATTTCACCATGTTGTCCAGGCGGGTCTTAAATTCCTGAGCTCAGGCGATCTGCCCACCTCGGCCTCCCAAAGTGCTAGGATTACAGACGTGAGGCACCATGCCCAGCCATTGTTTGTTCATTTTCTACTTAGCATTTTATATACTCAGAAATCTTTCCATCTCCTTCTAGTGCTTTGGTACCCAAATGTGGGCTTTGACTGCCTGCCTAGCTGTCTCGCTTATTTTTGCCAATTTTGTTTCTTGAGTCCTGCGTTCTTTCCCCATACTTTGCTGACTTGTTTTTAATGTAGTTTCCTGGTATGACCCTGCTTTACTTGGTGTTCTCATTGCTTGTTCATGTAAACAAACTCATCCATTCATTTATAGAGTGTTTTTTTTTTCCTGAACATCTTTCTTGAATTAATTCGGAGTGGCTTTTGAGCACTTGTTCTATCCTAGGTGCTGTGGTAGCCATAGGATTTACAATGACAAACCCAACCAAACATTACTTGTCTTCCTGAGTTAGAGAGACAAGTTAGGTGTTAATCACACAAACTGGGATAACTGCTGTGAAGGAAGGATACAGATGCGGCTGACCTAGGGACACTGGAATTGAAATCTGTCCCCTCATTTCACTTAATAACTGGCAGTAACTCCCCTTAATTTTAACTTTTGCCTGAATCAGGATTGACATGTACTGTCCCATTTTTAATTGTGTCTCTTGTTTTTGGATTGTTGCCAGTTTGCTCCCGACCCCTTGCCCCACCCAAGGCTGCCTTTCGTTGTATTCTTGGTCACTAGTGGGAGCATACCCTGGTCATGGATCTGTCCTCATTTGGGAGCTCTTTTCTCTTTGTTTTCTTAATACCTGTTTCTGTTGATTCTTTTCCTACATCTTCATTAGTTTCTTTGTTACATTTTCTACTTATTTACATTTCCTAAAAGTTGCCCTAACCCAATTTTGTCAGGGCAAGAGTGCTCTGGACTCGGACTTCTACAGGGTTTTAATAGCCTTCACAATGAGAAAGGAATGTTGCTTGTTGGTTCCTTATCCTGTGCCCTCCTCTGTATCAGCATACCCTTTCTTGGCATTCTCATCCATTCTTGTACACTCTTTGTTGCCATTTTTATGCAAATGACTGGCTAATCTCTCTGTCTCTTTTGCTTCCGTTTTCAAGTATTTGGTGGATCCCTCCATGTGGAGGTACATAATACTCCAAGTGGAATTCATCATGTTTGCTAACTTTCCCAACTCCCAGTCTCCTACCTAGAAATCTCACACAACCACTCCCTCCTTGCTCACTTCCAGACCTGCCTGGTTGCTAGGTGATGCCACTTTGTCCTCTTCTTTTCAATATCCTCAGCTCAAGTTCTGGTCTTCCTTTTCTTTTACCTGTCTGTTCTGGTTTTCTCCTAAGATGCATCAGCTGCTAGTCTCTCAACTCCAGATGACTCTGAGTCCTGTACCAGGTTAATTTTTCCTGAAACAACTCTTATCTGTTGTTTTTCTCTTCTGCTCATTCATGCTTTGAAAACTCCCTAGTGCTTTTGAAAACCTGACCTAGTTTTTTAGACCTTCCAGCTTGTTTTAATTTCCTTGCCACTGCCTCCCTTCGTATAGGCTGGACTCTATCCAAATAGAATTGATTTTGTAAGAACTTGCCTGTATTTTCTGTTTGCATCTCTATTTTTATTTCCTTTTGCCAGGAGTATGCTTTCCTCACACTATTAGTTCTTTAAAATCTTTCCTGAAGTTCTCTCAGGTTTCTTGACCTGGAGATACTCTTTCTCGCCCGTCATCTGTACATTTGTCCACACTTTAAAAAAACATAGTGCTTTCCACTTATCCTTCATTCTGTCTAGTGTAGTGCCTTGCAGAAATATGTGTTAAATTAATGAGTGGATAAATGCATTTCTGTATTAGGCCCTCAGACAGTCTCAACTCCTCCATCTGCCTTTCTCATTCCCTTGCTGTTTATCTGAGACCATCTCTTTCTCTCCCTTTTTGCAATTGGATCGGCTTTATCTGTGAATCTCTTTATCTGTCCCTAAGTGGCCTATTATCCGCTGTCTCCTTTGCTTTTCTTCTGCTGAGTTAGTATTAATTTCAATTTAAAGAGAAATTACATCATTTTGGTGAAGGATGTGTGTGGGAAATAGAGAGGAAATGGAAGCTAGTGTTCAGAATGACATCTTGATTCATTTTGTGGGAACACAGGCTGCCCACAAAAATTTGCAAATATAGACTTGACTCCTGGGCTGGTGGCCAGTAGAGACTAGAAAGTAGAAGTTGTGATGACATGTTCAGTATCCAGGTGGAAGGCCAGGGGCCCACATTCTAGCCTGCTGATCCTGGCAGCTTCTCTTATATTCCTTAGACACAGCTGTCTGAGCTTCTGATCAGACAACTGGTTTGAGGTGATGGCGGGTAAGAGTAGGGGAGATGTCTAATTACAGTATTGCCATATTTTGAAAGCATATGAATCATTTGGGGTTCCCTACATAGTTTTGTACATCAAGTTGTGACAATGAATTAGGTTTTGTTGGTGGATTCTAAGGAGTTGACGCACTTGGTTTCATAGAGGTGTATCATTTGTCCAGAGCTGGACTTAGTAAATGCCACATATTGAGCCCCAGTTTAGTACCTATTTCGTTACGGTGTTTAGAGTCTAATCTTTATATCACCTTTCAAAACTATGTTTCTTTATATTTTTGTGCATTTCACAAGCTGAATAGAACTGTCAGAATCCTTATTTTTCACATCATTGTGCCATTTGTGGAGATATTTAGTTGAAGTGGTCCAAAGAGGCAGTTTAGTGGTACCCGTGAGGATGAAAACTTTGAAAAGAAACTTGAGACAGATGGCGTGCTTGACTAACTGCCTGGGAGAATGTGATGCCACAACCCAGGAGGGGCACCACGTTGCCTTTGCCATCGAAGTACTAAATTTCTGAGAGGACAGAGGAGGCTACAGCTTAACTGCTCTCCAATTACCAATCTCTCCTTGGTTTCAGTGGATTACAGCAGAGCTGCTCAAGGTGGGAACTCTGAGCTGAGCAGTGGAGGTTTCCCTGGATCTGAAGAGAAGACTGACCTTGGAGCCAATAATGAGCCAGCCTGACCACAGAATGAACCTCCGGTCCCTGGAGACCCCCACAGGTAGTAAAAGGAAAATGGAATCTGCCTGAGTAACTGGAGAACTGAAATAAAAGTGGAATGGGTATGAAGGTGTGAAGTGGAGGGTGTCTTTTAGGACTGAGGGCAACTATAATTCTTTTTTTTTTTTTTTTTTTTTTTTGAGATGGAGTCTCGCTCCGTAGCCCAGGCTGGAAAGCAGTGGTGCGATCTCACCTCACGGCAGCCTCAGCCTCCTGGGTCCGGGTTCAAGCAATTCTCCTACCTCAGCTTCCCAAGCACCTGGGATTACAGGCACAAGCCACCATGCCTAGCTAATTTTGTATTTTTTAGTAGAGACAGGGTTTCACCATGTTGGCCAGTCTAGTCTTAAACTTTTGACCTCGAGATCCACCCGCCTCAGCCTCCCAAAGTGCTGGGATTACAAGTGTGAGCCACTGCACCCAGCTGAGGGTGATTATTTCTTTTAGTGACCTGTTAAGTATTCTCCTGTGTGATTTATTCTAGAATTAGATGTGTTTCTTGCTGTCTTAACTTATTATATTAAGTATAACTGTTTAATTTCCTCTAGAAAAGTGGCAATCTTTTAGTAATTACTATTTTTAAAAAGTTTGTGTCTATGAATAGCAAAGGATACTGAACTCATTATTCAGATTATGTTCCATACATGTTGTTTTGCTGATTTAAAACTCAAGTCTCATCTGTGTACATTTTATTCATGTTTTCTTAGCCACGGTTTCCTTTTTGTGATTGTTCAAAATCACCATCAGGTGTTTCGGTCTCTTGTTGGTCTCTTTAAATAATAATTTAAAAAAGGTATAATAGCTCCAGTTTTAAAAATACACAGATGTTTGAGGAAAGAGTTGATTGCTGCCTCATGTTTCTAGGTGTGTCTGCTGTGGCTGGCCCACATGACATTGGTGCTTCGCCAGGTGACAAAAAGTCAAAGAGCAAGTCCATGCGAGGGAAGAAAAAGAGCATGTTTGAAACTTACATGTCCAAGGAGGATGTTTCGGAAGGCTTGAAGAGAGGGACACTCATCCAGGTGCTTAAAATCTACTGGAAGGCTATTCCTTGAATATGTGAAATCCAAAACAATCTATTTAAACTATTTCCTGTTCTGTGCTATATGCTTTCAGAGAGATGGTGATGTAACAGGTGCAGTGCTGTTATGATGGCATAACAGAGATGATGAGGTAACAGGTACTTCTTAGAACTACAGCACATTTAGAGGTAATAAGCACCACAAGACAGGGACAGGCAGAGTGCTCTGAGATTTGAGAGGAGGGAGCCACTGTTTCCCATTAGATGCTTTATTAGAAGTGACATATTTGAGCCATGCCATGGATGGGTGCAGTTTGAGTAAGTGAAGATAAGAGAGAGCTTTAGAAATGGAGGAACCAGTGTGAGCTGCTACAGTAGAAGTGAGAAGTTGGGTTTGGATATATGAAACATTGAATAGTTCGGTTCTTCCGGAGCATGTGGATGCTGCATGACCAAAAATGGATGAGGTTGGAAAGGAAGCAGCAAACAACAACAGACAATATTTGTTGAATGCTTTATAGTTTATAAACTATGTTTACAAGCTAGTTCAGTGGTTCGGCTGAACAAATATTTATTGAGTATCCATTGTCAGCCATGAACAGTTATGGTTAGGAGCGTGCAGCATGGGTGCCTTTGAGATGGAGGTAGACAAGACTGCCTTTCTGTACTTTACCTTGCAGCCAGTGGTGGGAGGCAGTCATGTGAACAGATGATTTGGGGATCAAATGGCAAGTGCTCAGATAAAAGGGTGGCCAGGGTGTGTGGCAAAATATTGGGAAGAAACTGGGAAACTGTGTAGAATGAGGTTCTGGAGAGGCTTCCTGTAGTGGGTGACCCTCATGGTAGGTATTGAAGGATGACTAGTTTGGGCCTATCAGGTGAGTGATATGTGTGTGGGAGGTATGGAGAGGCAGCGGTGCTAATGAAAAGGTGAACTTGTGAAGCAACATGGAGTATGGCAGCTTGGGCCTTCTTGGGTATAAACCATCAGGCATCTGAGAGCCCAGCTTCTGTATTTATGTTTTTTTTTGCTGAAGATCCAACCAATTTACAGATACTGTCATTTTCTCTCTCTTTGTGTCTCTCTCTCTCTCTCTCTCTCTATATATATATATCTTTATATATCTTTACCTTTCTGTACTTACCTGTGGTTGAGTGCACATGTAATCGATTTAGACTTTTGACTAGAAAACCGTTTTTAACAAATGAGTTGATTTTTCTGATTCTTGGAGTACTACTGGTGGTTTTATGTATTTATTTATTGAGAAAGTCTTGCTCTGTTGCCTGGGCTGGAGTGCAGTGGCACAATCATGGCTCATTGCAATCTCTGCCTTCTGGGTTCAAGTGATTCTCGTGTCTCAGCCTCCAAGTAGCTAGGATTACAGGAGGTAAAAATTAGCTGGGCATGAACAGCACAGCTAATTTTTATATTTTTAGTAGAGAACAGGTTTCACCATGTTTTCCAGGCTAGTCTTGAACTCCTGATCTCAAGTGATCCTCCCGCCTCAGCCTTGCAAAGTGCTGGGATTACAGGCCTGAGCCACCATACCCAGTCCTACTGGTGTTTTTTTTTTTTTTTTTTTTTTTAAAAAAAACAGCTTTCCCTGGATTTATTTGACAAGCCCTCTTTTAGGAGAGATGAAGCTGCATTTGGACATTAGTCTATTCATTAATCAATTCATTTTCTCTTCATTGTTCAGCCCATATCCCAAACACCATTTTATCTGTAAGTTTCTTGGCCCTCCTCTTGTTTCACATACGACCCATTGTGCCTTCTCATTCTCATCCTCCTGCACTCTCCTCCAGGCGCACACTCCTCTATTCACCCTGAGCTTCCAGGCTTTTCCTCTAAAACCTGTGCTCCTTGATGTTTGTGACTTTGTACATGCTGTTCCTGGTACTTAGAATGCTTTATCCCACTGTCTTGACGTAATCACACTTACCATTTAAGTCCCTGCCTAAATGTTACCCACTTTGAGAAGCCTCATTTGAATTCCCCAAGTAGAATTAAAATTCTGCTTTTAAGTTTACTGCTTTCCTGTAGTTGACTTTTTTGTTTTTCCTTTATTCTACACTTACTACCGTTTCTTGGCTTTTATGTTTCCCCCAAGTAGACTGTTTGTGTACTTGATAGCAAGGTCATGCGTGTCTTATTCCAGAAGTTAGCTCGGTGCCTGGCATTTGACTGATGCTTAATACGTTTTTATTGACTAAGTATTTACTTGCTGACTGAATAGAAGATCCAGATACTTACTGTCTTTGAGAAGAGCTGGGGGAACCTCAGTTGTTAGAACTTGAAAGAAAAATAGCCTAGAATTTTGGCTATAGAATTACAGCTCTATAGTGATAAAGAGAGGACAGTGTTTTCTGTGGTGATATTAGCTTCAGCTCCCTTTTCATTTTTGCTTTTGAAGAAACTAGTTTCTGATACTCAAAACAAAACAAAAATCTGATCAGTATAACAACTCTCATTCCCAGGAGTTTGTAAGTGATTCCTCCTGGCCTGTGACATCATGAGACTCTGCAGCCAGGGCCTCCCCCCCAACATATGAGAACAGTTGTTCTTTGCAGATGGGGAAAGGAATGGGTTCCAGATATGAGGTCACCGTGTGAAATATACAACACTGTAAATAAGATTTTCATAGGCAGAGAAACAGAGTCCATCTGCTGCTTGATATAAACTTTATGTGTGCTGGCCTTACTGGGTAAGGTAAAAGGCCAGACAAAGATGTTTTAATGTTGATGGAGAAAATTAAGTATATTAGAAATACTTAGAAACTTTTGTTAACTTTTGTATTCAAACTCATCTCTTTTGACCTCTTTTTTTTCTCCCCATCCAGAGAAGAAACCTTTTATTGAGAGATAGTAGGGGGATTAAAAAAAATAGATGTAGAATATTTTTATTTTGTTTTCAATATCTTAACTAATACTTTGACATTTCATTAGTATTTTTTCCTATGTGGGAAGAGGAGACCACAGTCCTCTTTCCAGTGTTTGAAACTGACAATAACACATGATCATGTATGTGTAGTTTTGAAGTCTAAAAAAATAATAAAATCTCACATAAAAAATGTATTTTATTTCTCTCTTCATAGGTAGAGTTCTGAGAGGTTGTTCGAGATGTTGGGAGAGATGAGAGTAGGGGATAGACAAGCCTGGAAGGGGCTCCAGTTTAGGGTGATGATCAAGTTGACATGGGTATGAAGATGGTAGATTTGGCTGTTTCAGCTCCCAAATGATGCTTTGGCTAAAGAAAGTTCAGGCTGGCCAGGCGTGGTGGCTCAAGTCTGTAATCCCAGCACTTTGGGAGGCTGAGGTGGGTGGATCATGAGGTAAAGAGATCGAGACCATCCTGGTCAACATGGTGAAACCCCATCTCTACTAAAAATACAAAAAAAATTAGCTGGGCATGGTGGCACGTGCCTGTAATCCCAGCTACTCGGGAGGCTGAGGCAGAAGAATTGCCTGAACCTAGAAGCCGGAGGTTGTGGTGAGCTGAGATCGCGCCATTGCACTCCAGCCTGGGTAACAAGAGGGAAACTCCGTCGCAAAAAAAAAAAAAAGAAAGTTCAGGCTAAGTCCCCAGAGCTGCCTGAGGCATGATGTCAGAGTATCTCTTAGAATAGAAGTTGTTATTGGCGCTCTAAAAAAAAATCCTAGTACAGGAAGATAGAGGACAGGATGAGCTAGTTTCTAGGATCTCCACCATTTGTTAAGAGTGAAATCAGGCAGGGTGTGGTGGCTCACACCTGTAATCCCAGCACTTTGGAAGGCAAAGGTGGGAGGATTGCTTGAGGCCAGAAGTTTAAGACCAGCCTGGGGGACATAGTGAGACTTATCTCTACAAAATAAAAATCAGTTAGGCATGGTGGTGTGCACCTGTAGTCCTGGCTACTGGGGAGGCTGAGGCAGGAGGATCGTTTGAGCCCTGGAGTTGGAGGCTGTGGTAAGCCATGATGATGCCTGGTCTCTAGCCTGGGCAACAGAGTGAGACCCTGTCTCAAAAAAAAAAAGGAGTAAAATCAGCTTGGGGATGAATTAAAGATGAAGGGAATAGATGTGATGTTATAGTGGAATGCCCAGTCACTTAGATGGGAGAGATGATAATCATAACATTAATACTGGGGGTGATGAGAGAACTTTAGCTCTGCAGGCATTAATTACTTAATTAGTGCAACAAATGTTTCTTGACATCTTACTCAGTGCCAAGTGTATACCAGTAAGCAAGATAGGCAAGTCACTGGGAAGGTAGGCAAAAACAGCTAAAGAAAAAGACAAGGTGGCTCACACCTGTAATCCAAGCACTTTGGAGGCCAAGGCGGGTGGATCACCTGAGGTCGAGAGTTCAAGACCAGCTTGAGCAACATGGTGAAACCCCGTCTTTAATATAATAAATTAAAAATAAAATAAAATAAAATAAAAAGACAAGAAATTATAGACTGTGATCATTGCTAATAAGGAAATGAGAAAGGCGAGAGAGACTATTTAGAGAGAGCCTCTTTAGTAGGGTGATAAGGGAAAGCCTCTGTGATGAAGTGATCTCTCTGTGAGGTATCTGAGATGAGAATGAAGCAGCCATTTGAAGAATTAGGAGAAGAACTTAGGTGGAGAGCTCAATTAGTAGAACAGCAGCAAGCCAAAGAAGGCTTGGTGTTTTGAGAAATGAGAAGGAAGCCTGGGAACATTGTGAGCAAAGGGAGTTCTATTACGGGACAAGTGGAGAGTTAGGCAGCAGCCAAGTCATATAGGGTCTCAAGGCTGTGCTGGAGAATTGAATTTTGTTCAAAGAGCAGCAGGACGTCACTGAAGGCTGTTAAGCAGGGGAAGAAAATAATCTGTTTTATGCTTTGAACATATCTCTTTGGGAATTGTGAGATGAATAGACTAGTGTGGAAGCTGAGAGGCCGCTCAGGAAGCTATCAAAGTAAACCAGGTCAGAAAACATGGAGATGGGAACAAGAAGGTGGCAGTGAAGATGGAGAGAAGTGGATGGATGGATGTGGGGCTAGAACTGATATGACACGATTAGATATGGAAGGTGAGGAAGAGGGAGGCATCACTGATGACTGCTGAGTTTTTGAGTTGAACAGCTGGCTGGCTGATGTTGACATTAACCAAGACAGAGAAGAGCAAGGGTTGGAATGTGGTGCTGAGTTTTTGGGTGAGAGGGACAGCTGGCATGCATGAGTGAAGAGGCCCTGGTGCTGACTGTGGCAAACAGAGAGAGAGACTGTTCACAGTGGTTGAGAGCACGGACTCTGGAGCCAGACTTTCTGGCCTTGAAAATGATGTGAAAGCAGGCAGTTTTCTTAACCTTTTGGTGCCTCAGTTTCCTCATCTGTAAAAACAACAATAATGGTACCTACCTCCTAGGATTGTTGTGAGGGTTAAATTAGCTGATCGATATAAAGCTCTTCAAAGAGTGTGTGGCATGTTGTATACCTGCGTAAGTGGCACTTGAGTTTTGTTTTTACTACTATAAAAGGAGCATCTGTTGTTCAGGTTAGGCTGTTAGATCTTATGATTTTTAATGAAAATCTAGAAACACATATTTTATATGTGTGAAATTCCTCAGTTTTAGGGACTCTCAAGCCAAATACAGTATGTTTGCGATTGCCAGTTAGACTGATTTAGCCCAGTTGTGTGGTGTTTTTCTATGGTACTGTTCAGCTGCTTGGGTATAGGAAGGGAGAAAGAAGACAGTTGGGGTTAGTTGAGAGGGGGTCTTTGCTAGTTGAATATCAGAGTAAGTGGTTTGTTCATAATTTGCAAGGTTAAGAGATGATGACAGGTCATGGCAGTCAGGTGGCCAGAGAAGGGAGTAAACAGAGTGGGGGGACAATGAATGAAAAATGTGGTCATGGCTTTGGGTGGAGATCTTGGTGAAACTGAATAATTTGAAGTGGGGTTTCTACCATAAGTAGACAAAGATTGCCATAGGAAAGTGTGATATTTGAAATTTTTTTTTTTTTTTTTTGAGGTAGCATCATTAGTAGTGCTGATGGGATCCAGGCTGTGAACATGGGAGAGAGTAGGTGGAGCAGGGGAGCGAATGGTAGTTAGAGTGACAGGCTAGGGTTGCTTGGTCCTCAGTCTGGTTGTGAAGTCCCGAATATATATGGGAGTGAGGATAGAGAGGAAGGCAGTGAGCTGCCAGTCAAAATGTTAGTGAATTAGAGCTTTGACCCACCTGAAAGTTTGAAGAAGACAGCACCAAGGAGGTGCTAATGACATGAACTTCAAAGGGTCTGGGATTTTTGAAAAAGAATGGAGGAAAAAATACTTTTAAAGCCATGAGGAGGAAGCAAAGAGACCTTCCACCCCTGGTCCCTGAGATCCATGGGGTATGAGAGATAAAATAGGCTCACTTTGAGAGCACTCAAGGAAAGCAATAACATCAGGGAACAGCCAGGTTTCAATTGTGGTGAAGAATCAGGAGCATCCGGAGAAGAGATGGAGGATTTGGGATCCTCACTGATCCAGGTTCCAGGCCTAGGGAAATGCTTTAGGAAGAAGATGGGAGATAGGCGATTGGGTCAGGTTAGAGGATGGCTATAGAAATGAAAGTCGTGGCTTTTGTAGGTGACTAAGACAAACCATCTGTGGGAAGTATCCTTTAGTTATTAAAGATCCTTTTTTTTCTGACAGATGTTATTGTCAGCTGCTTGTATCAGGCTGTAGGAACGACTCTGGTCTGCTGTGGAGCTCTGTGGGTTCTTCTTTCTTAGTGTGATCTGGATTCTCTCAAGGGCTCTGTTTCTGAGTTTCAGTTCTTCAGAATTACGCTCCAGTCAAATTCACAAATGCTGTTGTGGACCAAGGTTTCTGTTCTTCCTTGTGGTGCTTTTGCATATATCAGGAAGTTTGGGATAGGGAATCAAGGGTAAAATCCTCAAGGTCTTTTTAATACCTTTTCTTTTAAATAGAGCCTGGATGCAGCCCTGAGCAACCCATCTCTTTTCCCTGGGCCCAGCCTGGCCTGACTGCCCTGCAATTAAAGGCATTTTCAAAGCTAGAGGCATTGTCATCTCTGTACTTCATATGCTGAGCTACAAGGGATGATGGAAGAACAGGAGTTGAAAAAAAACTTAGGCCAGAGAAAAGCATCTGGAATCAGAAAATGAAATTTTTAAACACTTAATTTCAGTGAATTGACTTTGATTTGTTTGGAGTCCCCTCACCAGACTGTAAGCTCTTTGAAGGTAGAGTGTGTTGTTGGTCTCCATTGTACCCCCATCACTTGACACCGTGTCAAGTGCCTGCCATGGTATCCGTTAAGAAATGTTGAGTGAGTGGATGAATACTTAGAATAAATGTAAGTTTTTCCCTTCCTTCCCTCAACAAGAAACAGCTGTTCTACAAGTAGATTTACTGTGACACTCCTAACAAGGGACTGGCCTTGGAGAGCTTTGCCAACCTTATCTCCTGGTCCCTCCCTCTTCTATGCTAGGCAGAGTTATTGCACAATGGAGAAGAATTAATGGGTGCCCTCTTAACCACTTCTGCTAACACAGTGTCCTCTACTGTACTCCTCATCTGATTTATTTGCAAAGTTTGCTCTTCTGTAAAGATTTAGATCAGACACCATCTCTGAAGCCTCTTCTGGTGCCCCCGCTATGAAAGTAAGCTGTACCTCTGCTTTATGTTTTCTTGTAAAATAGGGGCTGACCTTAGTTAATCATTATCTTCCCCATCAGTGTGTCTCGGGGTCTTGAATATAGTCATTACTCAACAATTAATTATTGAATTGAGGACTAAATGATCATTTGTAGTAGTCTGTTTGAATGTTTATGATATTATAAACTGTGGCATGGACATTTGTAGTTTAAATTTGGTACAGCACGGAAAGAAATTATTTTCTGCTTTATGCCCTTGCCTGTTTTGTTAATTATGTATCTTTGAGTCTTTAAATGTTTTAGGGGGGAATGTTATTTAAAATACTTTCTCAAGATATCCTTTGAGTCTGGCTGTTAGAAAAATAACTGCTTCCATCCATGTGTTCCAGTGGCCTGAGACTACAGCTGGAACCTGGGGAGCGTTACAGCTTCCTGCAAGAGCCTGAAATACTGAACTGCTATTGAAGAGGCCCCCACCTGCACCCCTGTGTGTAAATAGAAGCAGACCCTGGTTTGGTCCTGGAATAACATGAAGTTGAAGACAGACTGGGTGGCCTGGCTGTTGGAGCCAGGATTCCAGTTTGCATTAAGAGCTGGTTATGGACCATTTTGAATTATTGACTCATTAAGCTCTGCACAGGGGCCAGGGTTAAAAATAATGCATCCAGTTTCTTGAGGCTCAGTATCCAGGTTGGAAATCAACCTGTATCCCAATTTGAAAATTGTCACAGAAACAAGTAATTGTGGAAAGGTCTTGGAACTGGGAGAATAAAAAAGGCCTTTGTATAGTGAGGCATGATCCCCAGGTAATCTTATTTGTAAAGTCAAGGTTTATATTTGAAGACTAGCATATGGGGCACCTAAAATCCTAACAGTTGTCACTTTCCCACTCCATGCCAAGCTCTGTTGTTTCTCACTTTTGCCTGTTCACAGCAAGGTGCCAGTCTAAGCTTTCTCTTTTTGATGAAACCCTCTATTTCAGATATCAACAGAAATTGTGTTTCCTGCATTTAATGAATAGTTCTTATACATCTAATTTGTTTTCTGAATTGAACTGTTAAATTTTAAAACTTTTTATTGGAGAATAACATACATATGGAAAAATCATAAATATCTAGCTAGATTTTCACAAACTTTATTTTTTGTTTTAAAGGGTATATTGAGAATTAATCCAAAGAAGTTTCATGAAGCCTTCATTCCTTCACCGGTAAGTTCAATAACTTTATAATAAACTTAATGTCACATTTAAGTTTTTAGATGTGCTCTAAAACTGAAATCATATATTCTAACTAAAAAGCAGAGTGGTAAAACAAAATTGAGGATGGGCGAGGATTTGTTTCAGATTTAAATTTAAAAACAGAATTTTCTTTTGGTTAACAACCCCTTCTGCCAGTCTTAAAATATCATGCCAAATGAAAGGGATGGCATTTGTTACAAGGCTGCAGAGAGCAGCTGGACCCAGGCAGACTACCCACCAGTTCATGTAATTGGACGCTCTTGGTTTATGGCTTAAAAGGGTTTATGGTTTTTTTTCCACTGATTTAAGTTAATCTTTCCTAAACAAATATGCTATCTACTTTGGATCTACTGCATGAGCTAATCTGAACATTTATCCAAAAATATCGTGTAATGCTTTTTATTTTGGGGGTTAGAATTTCTCACTTCACTTTCATGCAGGTGATAGAACTTTGTACAAGGCTCTTTCCTGTTGGGTCTTTAGACTCTTTCTTACATATATGACTTATTTTAAGAGACTCTTTCCACTTAAATCAAGTTCACACTGACATATAGTTAGCAGCAGTTCTCTAGAGAAGGTTTGACTGAGCCAAGCTGGGAAAGCAATATTCTTAAATTCCTGACCTAACTTTTCCAGGATACCATAAATAGAATAGCTATAGAATCGTAGATTTTTCGTAATAAAAGAGACCAAACTTATGCTTATAGATGAGGAAATGGAATTCAGTTAACATTTTATTATGTTAAATGGCAGTAAGTTCAGTGAGAATATAAGTTCAGTCATGTACTTTATAAATGCAATTATTACAGACTGAGCATCCCTTATTTGAAACACTTGGGACCAGAAGTATTTTGGATTTAGATTTTTTTTTTTATTTCGGAATATTTACATTATATACTTGGACTGAAATCAAAAATGCTCCAGTGAGCATTTTCTTTGAATGTCATGTCAGTGCCCAAAAAGTTTTATATTTTGGAACATTTCAGATTTTATATGCTCAACTGGTATTATTGTTATTGTTACCATAACCTTATGACCTATTCTTAAGCAATTCCCCTGCCTTCTGAAATCCAGGGACTCACATTGCATCCAAGTTCAAGTCTTGCCCATTGAATTAGATAAAAGTTATCACTGACATTCACATTACTCTCTCTCTCAGTCGTATTCTGTTCCTTTGAGAGAAGATGGCATATGTCTTGCCCCTGGAACTTGAGTTGTAAAATTGGACTGTAGAATTGAGGGTCTGCTTTGAGGTAGTAACTTGGCTGCAAGAGCAGTTCTCTCATCCACTGGAAGCGCAGTTTACATAGGTATTAGATTCCAGAGTTTGCTCGTAAGGTTAAATTTACATCCAGGAATCATAAAAACTACCCATGAAAATCTCTTAGAAAGGTGCTGTGTTGGAGACGGATACACCATCTCTCATAAGTCCTGCATAACCAATTTTTTTTCCCGTTAGGATGACTTTCTTCAAGAATATACCAGTTGAAGGAACTTGATTGTATTAGGAGACCTCATGTATGAAAGACAGATTTTTAAGCATGAAAATATCACTCAGTGTAGAAAGTTCATCCTGAGAGGAAGCTGGGAACTGGGTAGATTCAGACCTCTTGTCTCTTGTGCGTGCTGAAGTTTGCTCTTATTGATGGGAATGAGAAGGGGACCTATAGCATTTTGAAAATTTTGCTGTTTCCTCTCTTCCCTGATTACATGATAGTCAATTTCCTTAAGTTAAATCCCTATTGGGTTGGCTCCTAGCAAGTGTGGGACCTAGGACAGAGGTAGAAAAGAAAGCATATATACCTTTAATCAAATATTGAAAAGTTAGACTTCAAACTAATCATCAAATAAAATATATTATTCCATATATTCCATGTAGGAATAGACAAGGTCTATTCCTTGCCAAATACACCTCCATATACCTGGGTTCAAATGTAGAATTCTCAGATTTCTTGCCACTCCTTGCTGAAACATGGCTCCGCCTCTGGGTTGCCCCTCTTCCCTTCTCAATGCTAGCTTCTTGTCCCCTTGTGACTCCCCTGCATTCACTGAGGGCCCTCTCATGCACAAATGTGGACATTCCTGTCCCTCATATCTAAGCTATGTCCGTACCCATTAGAAATAACTGCTCTTTAGTCAGCCTCCACGGTGAGGGGGTGCCACTGGTGGTGGGAAAGTGCCTGTATATATCCTGGAGGTGGGCTTGGGGTTGGTTATTTTAGGGAAGCACATCCATTTGGCCTGTAAAGTCCTTGTCTGATGGGGTGTCCTATGGATCCTGCAAGCTAAATTCATGTGATTTACATCTGCACATGATATATCTCCATGGCCTAACCTGGCTTGTTGAAGAAAGCTAAGAAGCAAAAGCAAAATTTGGTGATGTTTTAAAAGCTCATAGTTGTTCTCCTACATAAAATTGTGTTCTTTATATGTCCTATTTAGGGATTTTTTTAGACAGTTGTGATATGAGGATTTGCTTATTTCTGTGCCTCTTTTATTCTTTTATTTGGCTCCTGTTGGAGTAGTAATATTGTCTCAGAGAGAGAAAGACAACTCACCTCTAGGGAATTTTTTTTTTTTTTTTTGAGATGGAGTCTTGCTCTGTCACCAGGCTGTAGTGCAGTGGCGCAATCTCGGCTCACTGCAACTTCTGCCTCCTGGGTTCAAGCAATTCTCCTGCCTCAGCCTCCTGAGTAGCTGGGACTATATACGCATGTCACCACGCCCAGCTAATTTTTGTATTTTTAGTAGAGATGGGAGTTTCACCATGTTGGCCAGGATGGTCTCAATCTCTTGATCTTGTGATTTGCCTGCCTCAGCCTCCTAAAGTGCTGGGATTATAGGTGTGAGCCACCGTGCCTGGCCCCACCTCTAGGTAATTAAGAATAAATCATAAAAACAACAATCGGGACCCAATTGCCAGTGATTGTAGACACTCTAATTTTGGACATTGGACTAGTTCTATGCTTCGGTTTTCAGAAGCATTACAGAAAACAATTCAGGGCAATAATAGGGGCAACAGATTACTCATATATAAAGCCCACAACCACCTGTGGTCTGGATTTCTGAGTATACATAGCTCATGTCTGTGTCAACCGTGAACTTCTATGAACTGCAAACTTGACTCAGGTTCATTATAACTTCTACTGATAGAAAGTTGATTTTCATTTTATGACAAATATAAAATATATGGGATGAAAAATGCCCACAGATAGACTAGGAAGGAGAATGTCAGAACTAGGGCCTAAATGTCACCTGCTTAAGCTAGGAGAATGAAGGCAGGGATAAATATTAAAGAAGATGTGGCTTTTGCTTTGACAAAGGACATACAGTGGTTTTCTTATTTGTAAAACGGGATGGATGAAATATTCTCCAATGTTCCTCACATTCTAAAGTTTTTAGAGAGACAATAATAGAGATTTGATTAAAGTATTTAGGTTTGCTCTTACTGACTCTAAAAATGGTTGTGAATTTACACAATGTCATTTGCTATGCTGAAGTATCTCCCTAGGTCCACAGGTGAAGAACAGTGAATCAGTCATTAGGTATACAACGATACTTTGTTTTGGGGGAACTTGACTTGGGTTCATTATAATTTCTACTGACGGAAAGTTGCTTTTCATTTCATTACACAACTGAAGTATATGGGATGAGTATCTTATGTGTACTTGCTAGTTTTGTGAGGTTCTCAATAAAAATGAAATGCAGACTGTGAGTAAGATCATGTGACTTTCAAGCAAACCAAGATAAAATGATAGTATTGACATGCCTTTTAATCCTATTTGGGGATAGGATAAAGAGGAGAAAATGGATCAGATGGAAAAATCTGTCATTTTAAAAAAGGACAGTTTCTATTCTGAATTATGTAGGTCTAAGAAGCTCTTTAACTTTTAAATGCTTCTTGTCATGGGAGGCATCCTTTGTAGAGTTTATTTCTGGTCCATCGAGAAAGGATACTGTGACCATCGTGGCATGCTTGTGTTGTTTTCCTTCCCCCAATCCCCTAAGTCTTTAGTTTGCTTAATGCACACCCCACCCCAGGTCCTTTATCTTTCCTCCAGGGATGTTCATGTTCTATTTTTCTTTCTCTATCTATCTATCATCTATCTATCTATCTATGTATCTATCTATCTATGTATGTATGTATCTATCTATCTATCTATGTATCTATCTATCTATCTATCTATGTATCTATCTATCTATGTATCTATCTATCTATCTATGTATCTATCTATCTATCTATCTATCTATCTATCTATGTATCTATGTATGTATGTATGTATGTATGTATGTATCTATCTATCTATCTATGTATCTATCTATCTATGTATCTATGTATCTATCTATCTATCTATCTATGTATCTATCTATGTATCTATGTATCTATCTATGTATCTATGTATCTATCTATCTATCTATCTATCTATCTATCTATCTATGTATCTATCTATCTATGTATCTATCTATCTATCTATGTATCTATCTATCTATGTATCTATGTATCTATGTATCTATCTATCTATCTATCTATGTATCTATCTATCTATGTATCTATGTATCTATGTATCTATCTATGTATCTATCTATCTATGTATCTATCTATGTATCTATGTATCTATGTATCTGTCTATCTATGTATCTATCTATGTATCTATCTATCTATCTATCTATCTATCTATGTATCTATCTATGTATATGTATCTATCTATGTATCTATCTATGTATGTATGTATGTATGTATGTATGTATGTATGTATCTATCTGTCTATCTATCTATCTATCTATCTATCTATCTATTTATGTATCTATGTATCTATCTATCTATCTATGTATCTATCTATGTATCTATCTATCTATGTATCTATGTATCTATCTATCTATCTATCTATCTATCTATCTATGTATCTATGTATCTATCTATCTATGTATCTATCTATCTATCTATGTATCTATCTATCTATGTATCTATCTATCTATCTATCTATCTATCTATCTATCTATCTATGTATCTATGTATCTATCTATCTATCTATCTATCTATCTATCTATCTATCTATCTAATCTATCTATCTATTATTCATTCTAATGGCTAGAACAAGACTTTTGGCATCCAAACAAAGAGCTGAAATCTTTGGCCTTAAAAAGTAGTTAAACAGGATGACTTATCCTTTTAATATTGAGCAGTTCACAAGCTTAGTATCTTTAAAATAAGAGATTCAGTGACAGATCAGTCTTGTCTATGAATCAAGGAAGAGCTGAGTAGTGATCCAGTAGCTGTAGATTTTTGTGTTGTCTGAGGTTCAACTCAGCCTTGCTTTCCTTGTTTTTTTTTTTGGGATAGTAAGGTGACAGTACTATCATCCTATCAATTTGAAATCTCTTAGCTGCCAAAAGGTGTTAATAGCTGCTTATAATAGAGGCATTTCATTTCATCTGTTTGACACATGAGTATGGGTTAGGGTGACCTCCAAACAGCCCACTTTTCATTCCAAGGAGGTCCGAAAGATCCTATTGCTTTTTGAATTACAAAAAGCAGCAATTGATGATGATGTGCCATGTTTCAGTTGTTCACTCTCTGTTTACTGGCTGTCTCTTCCAGATCTCTCTGAGAACCTTGTCAAGAGGTCAGCTACAGTCATGTTTTGTGGCTAACACAGTAGCTTTTCCTCAGGGACTAGGGTGGGGTCGGTTTTGGCAGAGTGTGCAGGCCACAGCTGTCAACCCATAGCTAAACTGGAAATTGAGCAGCAAAACTGTTCTAGAAGATCTCTCATGGTTTGTAAGTGGAAACCGTAAAAAACACTGAGTGACTAGAATCTGCCCCCCACTGCTGTTTTTTTTTTTTGCTTTGGTGAGTTTGGGATGTTAATTTTAACTTCTTCTAAAATATCATAGTAATCGCCTTCAGTCCATTGAATGTTATCTTAAATCTTATCTATGTTGTGTCTCTGTAAGAAAACTTTGAGTGATGATTTTCCAGACTCTTTTGCTATCACCTCCTGTAAGAAAAAATAATATTTTACTTCTCTCTTATTCTCTGAAAAGGAGCACATCATATAAACTTGTAGAGAATAGAAGGATAAGAGTACATGCTTGTTGGTGAAACATATTGAAAATATTTTATTTTCTCAGGGGCCCTGACTGCTGCTCAAAACCTGCTTTTCCTTAGCTATCTTGTCTATTTAAAATTTCAAAGTAATTTGGCTTACCAAGAAGACTCTGGTACCTATTTAAGCCAAGAAGTTGACACCTGGGGAGTTCACTGGGGAGTCACATTGTTTAAAGTGGGTTATTTCTTAATGAGTGAGTGAGGATGAAAGTGTCTGTACCTTGTGTTCATGGTCTGGAGTTCACAGTGGTCCTAAGTCAACAAGATCAGTCGAGTGTAAAGAACACGTGATGAATCTCCTATTACATCTCTTTCCTTCTCTTCTTTGCATTCTACTTAGGTCTCCATAAAAACAACCACAGTTTATTATCTCTGCCACTTTCTTAGGGGCTTTATGAGTTTGCTGGTTTCTTCCTAGAGAGCCCAAATCCTAGAGCCATTGCTATTCCTGCCCTCAGTTTGTTTTCTTTGGGGAGATTATGTATGGTTCCTCTTCTGTTCTCTTGCGTACCTTCTATTTTTATACTTTCTTGATACTTTAAGAAATTCACTTAGTATTAAAAATACTCTATTTTTGTTAACTTTTTTCGCTTTAATACAAAAAAAATAATCTAAAAATAACTTGCTGTTTTCTCATTTCAGTTATGAAAGCATACAATCTCAGTTTTTTTGCTTTATGTGTTTTTAAGCTATCGTTTTATTTCTTTTTTCAACCTAGGATGGTGATCGAGACATTTTTATTGATGGGGTCGTTGCTCGTAATAGAGCCTTAAATGGGGATCTGGTGGTCGTGAAACTGCTTCCCGAGGAGCAGTGGAAGGTGAGTTAAATTTTCCCTTTCTAATTTTAGATTTCTTAGGGTCCTTCACATTCCATGGTGCACCAATAAGGCTTCATAAACTGGAGGAGTCACAGACCCCTCAGCCGCTGTGGTAAGATGGGGTGTAATCTTGGAAGCATGCTGCTGAATGCTTGGGACTTACAGGCATCTGCTGGGCACATTCTAATCATCTGAGTTGTTCTCCTTGCTTCCTCTCTAGTGATCCATCTTCCCTGTCACATGCTTTGCATTGGTTTTTGGTATTCTTTTGAATAAATACTGAGGGCCCATTCAAACTTGCTATGTATTATTTTCCTATATCCTATGCAGGAAGAACTAGAAAGACAAAGCCATGGAGACAGTGGCAGTCCTCATGCATTTCTGCTGCCTCCAGTGGAAAACCCAGGCAATACATATGGAGTTCTATTGGCCCAGTTTGGTGATTGGGTGCCTTGGCAGATACAAAGTCTGCCTGTGTTTTTATAAATCAGGGATTCAGTGGCAGAAGAAAATGTTTTTAAGTGAGAATATTTTGGGTTTCAGTCTCCATCTATGTCTGTCAATTGAAAAGGAAGATGTGGTTTTAGTTTTGACTGTTGTTTTAAATAAAAGTAAGGATCAGACTTTGGAGTGATTTGTGGTGACACTATCTTTGAATCGTTGTGTAGAATTGGAGACTTGTATATCTAATTCTGAATTTGTCTTCATATCATTTGTTTTATTTGGCTAAATTCATTGGTACTCAAGAATTTGGTGTCTTCTTCAATAAAAGTTGCTGTAATGTAGTGAATAAAAGTATGGGCTTTCAGACTAGGCTACTTAGATTTGAATCTTATCTCTGCCATTCATCTCTATAACCTTGAGAGAATTGTACAACCTTTCTGCTTCAAATGTCTCATCTGTAAAATTGGAATAATCATGGTATGTACTTTATGGGTTTGTCATGAGAATTAAATGAGAATGCATGTAAAAATTTTAGAATAGTGCCTAAACAATCTTAGACTAGCAGGAGCTTAAGAAATGTTCTTACTGCATGTTCTTCACATGTACCCCAAAACCTAAAATGCAATAAAAGAGAAAAAAAAAAGAAATGTTCTTATTAGCTTTTCCAGAAAAGATGTGATGTGAGGAGTACCATTTTATCTTAGAGCTTTGTTGAGGCATAAATTCTTTTTAATCTGATACAGCTGAAGTAATTAAGTTATAGCTATGTGCCAGGTATTCATATGGTGTAGTTCTTTTTTTTTTTTTTAATTTGTTTATATGGTGTAGTTCTTCCCCTCATGGAGCCTATAGTTTAATGGGGAGTGCAGACAGGAAAAGACAGATACTGATCATACTTATACAAATTTAAGTATAATTTGAATTGGTGCTGTGAAGTGCAGGATTTCTTTTTTCTTTATCTCTTCCTTTTCTTTTTCTTTTTTTTTAAATAATATTTTAAGTTCTGGAATACATGTGCGGAACAAGAAGGTTTGTAACATAGGTGGTTTACCATACCCATCAACCTTTCATCTACATTAGGTATTTCTTCTAATGCTATCCCTCCCCAGTGGGTGATGTTCCCCTCCCTGTGCCCATATGTTCTCATTGTTCAACTCCCACTTATGAGTGAGAACATGTGGTGGTTAGTTTTCTGGTCCTGTGTTAGTTTGCTGAGAATGATGGTTTCCAGCTTCATCCATGTCCCTGAAAAGGACATGAACTCATCCTTTTTTTTTAATGGTTGCATAATATTCCGGTATATATGTGCCACATTTTCTTTATCCAGTCTATCGCTGATGGGCATTTGAGTTAGTTCCAAATCTCTGCTATTGTAATAGTGCCACAATAAACATACATGTGCATATGTCATTATAATAGAATGATTTATAATCATTTGGGTATACACCCAGTAATGGGATTGCTGGGTCACATGTTATTTCTAGTTCTAGATCCTTGAGGAATCACTACACTGTCATCCACAGTGGGTGAACTAATTTACAGTCCCATCAACAGTGTAAAAATGTTTCTATTTCTCCATATCCTCTCCAGCATCTGTTGTTTCCTGACTTTTTAATGATCGATATTCTAACTGGTATGAGTTGGTATCTCATTGTGGTTTTGATTTGCATTTCTCTAATGACCAGTGATGATGAGCTTTTTTTCATGTTTGCTGGCCACATAAACGTCTTCTTTTGAAAAGTGTCTGATCATACCCCTTTGCTGGGTTGTTATTTTCTTGTAAATTTGTCTAAGTTCCTTGTAGATTCTGGATATTAGCCCTTTGTCAGATGGATAGCTTGCAAAAATTTTCTTCCATTCTGTAGGTTGCCTGTTGACTCTGATGGTATTTTCTTTTGCTGTGCAGAAGTTCTTTAGTTTAATTGTCAATTTGGCTTTTGTTGCAATTGTTTTGGTTATTTTAGTCATGGAGTCTTTGCCCATGCTTATGTCCTGAATGGTATTGCCTAGGTTTTCTTCTAGGGGTTTTATGGTTTTAGGTCTTACGTTTAAATCTTTAATCCATCTTGAGTTAATTTTTGTATAAGGTATAAGGAAGGGATCCAGTTTCAGTTTTCTGCATATGGCGAGCCAGTTTTCCCAACACCATTTATTAAATAGAGAAGCCTTTCCCCACTGCTTGTTTTTGTCAGGTTTGTAAAGATTAGATGGTTGTAGATATGTGGTGTATTTCTGAGCCCTCTGTTCTGTTCCATTAGTCTATATATCTGTTTTGGTAACAGTACCCTGCTGTTTTTGTTACTGTAGACTTTTAGTATAGTTTTAAGTTTCGTATAGTTTCAGGTAGCATGCCTCTAGCTTTGTTCTTTTGTTTAGGATTGTCTTGGCTATATGGGCTCTTTTTTTGTTCCATATGAAATTTAAAGTCATTTTTTCTAATTCTGGGAAGAAAGTCAATGGTAGCTTGATGGGGATAGCATTAAATCTGTAAATTACTTTGGGCAGTATGGTTATTTTCATGATATTGATTCTTCCTATCCCTGATCTTGGAATGTTTTTCCATTTGTTTATGTCCTCTCTTATTTCCTTGAGCAGTGGTTTGTAGTTCTCCTTGAAGAGGTCCTTCACATCCCCTGTAAGTTGTATTCCTAGGTATTTTATTCTCTTTATAGTAATTGTGAATGGGAGTTTGTTCATGATTTGGCTCTCTGTCTATTATTGGTGTATAGGAATGCTTGTGATTTTTGCACATTGATTTTGTATCTTGAGACTTTGTGAAGTTCCTTATCAGCTTAACGAGTTTTTGGGCTGAGACAATGGAGTTTTCTAAATATACAATCATGTCATCTGCAAACAGAGATAATTTGACTTCCTCTTTTATTATTGGAATACCTGTTATTTCTTTCTCTTGCCTGATTGCCCCGGCCAGAACTTACAATACTGCGTTGAATAGGAATGATGAGAGAGGGCATCTTTGTCTTGTGCTGATTTTCCAGGGGAATACTTCCAGCTTTTGCCCATTCAGTATGATATTGGCTGTTGGTTTGTCAAAAAATAGCTCTTATTTTGAGGTATGTTCCATCAACACCTAGTTTATTGAGTGTTTTTAGCATGAAGAGGTGTTGACTTTTATTGAAGGCCTTTTCTGCATCTATTAAGATAATTATGTGGTTTTTGTCATTGGTTCTGTTTATGTGATGGATTATGTTTATTGATTTGTGTATGTTGAACCAGCCTGGCATCCCAGGGATGAAGGTGACTTGATTGTGGTGGATAAGCTTTTTGATGTGCTGCCAGATTCGGTTGGCCAGTATTTTATTGAGGAGTTTCGCATCAGTGTTCATCAGGGATATTGGCCTGAAATTTTCTTTTTTTGTTGTGTCTCTGCCAGGTTTTGGTATCGGGATGATGCTTGCCTCATAAAATGAGTTAGGGAGGAGTCCCTTTTTTTTTTTATTGTTTGGAATAGTTTCAGAAGGAATGGTACCAGCTCCTCTTTGTACCTCTGGTAGAATTTGGCTGTGAATCTGTCTGGTCCCGGGTTTTTTTGGTTGATAGGCTATTAATTACTGCCTTAATTTCAGAACTTGTTATTGGTCTATTTAGGAATTTGACTTCTTCCTGGTCTAGTCTTGGCAGGGTGTATGTGTCCAGAAATTTATCTATTTCTTCTAGATTTTCTAGTTTGTTTGCATAGAGATGTTTATAGTATTATCTGATAATAATTTGTATTTCTGTGGAATCAATGGTGATCTCCCCTTTATCATTTTTTTTATTGTGTCTATTTGATTCTTCTTGCTTTTCTTCCTTATTAGTCTGGCTAGTGGTCTATCTATTTTGTTAATCTTTTCAAAAAACCAGCTCCTTGATTCATTGATTTTTCTGAAGAGTTTTTCGTGTATGTCTCCTTCCGTTCTGCCCTGATCTTTGTTATTTCTTGTCTTCTGATAGCATTTGAATTTGTTTGCTCTTGCTTCTCTAGTTCTTTTAATTGTGATGTTAGGCTGTTGATTTTGGATCTTTCTTGCTTTCTCCTGTGGGCATTTAGTGCTGTAAGTTTACCTCAAACACTGCTTTAGCTGTGTCTCAGAGATTCTGGTATGTGATGTCTTTGTTCTCATTGGTTTCAAAGAACTTATTTATTTCTGCCTTAATTTTGTTATTTACCCAGTAGTCATTCAGGAGCAGGTTGTTCAGTTTCCACGTAGTTGTGTGGTTTTGAGTGAGTTTCTTAATCCTAAGTTCTAATTTGGTTGCACTGTGGTCTGAGAGACTGTTACGATTTTTCATCTTTTGCATTTGCTGAGGAGTGTTTTACTTCCAATTATATGGTCAGTTTTGCAGTAAGTGCTGTGTGGAGCTGAGAAAATGTATATCCTGTTGATTTGGGGTGGAGAGTTCAGTAGATGTCTATTAGGTCCTCTTGGTCCAGAGCTGAATTAAGTCCTGAATATCTTTGTTAAATTTCTGCCTCATCGATCTGTCGAATATTGACAGTGGGGTGTTAAAATCTCCCACTATTATTGTGTAGGAGTCTAAGTTTCTTTGTAGGTCTCTAAGAACTTGCTTTATGAATCTGGGTGCTCCTGTATTGGGTGCATATATATTTGGGATAGTTAGCTCTTCTCATTGCATTGATCCCTTTACCATTATGTAATGTCCTTTGTCTTTTTTGATCTTTGTTGGTTTAAAGTCTGTTTTATCAGACTTTAAAAAAAAACCCTGCCTTTTTTTTTTTCTTTCCATTCGCTTGGTAAATATTCCTCCATCCCTTTATTTTGAGGCTGTGAGTGTCTTTGCATGTGAGATGGGTATCCTGAATATAGCACACTGTTGATTCATGACTCTTTATCCAATTTGCCAGTCTGTGCCTTTTACTTGGGGCATTTAGCCTGCTAACATTTAAGGTTAATATTTTATGTGTGAATTTGATCCTGTTGTCATGATGCTAGCTGGTTATTTTGCCCATTCGTTGATGCAGTTTCTTCATAGTGTCAATGGTCTTTATATTTTGGTTTGTTTTTGCAGTGGCTGGGACCAGTTTTTCCTTTTCATATTTAGTGCTTCGTTTAGAAGCTCTTGTAAGGCAGGCCTGGTGGTGACAAAATCCCTCAGCATTTGCTTCTCTGTAAAGGATTTTATTTCTTCTTCACTTATGAAGCTTAGTTTGGCTGGATATGAAATTCTGGGTTGAAAATTCGTTTCTTTAAAAACATTGAATATTGGCCCCCCACTCTCTTCTGGCTTGTAGGGTTTCTGCGGAGAGATCTGCTGTGAGTCTGACGGGCTTCCCTTTGTGGGTAACCCAGCCTTTCTCTCTGGCTGTCCTTAGCATTTTTTGCTTCATTTCAACCTTGGGGAATCTGATGATTATGTGTCTTGGGGTTGTTCTTGAGGAGTATCTTTGTGGTGTTCTCTGTATTTCTTGAATCTGAATGCTGGCTTTTCTTGTTAGGTTGGGGAAGTTCTCCTGGATAATTTCCTGAAGCATGTTTTCCAACTTGGTTCCATTCTCCTTGTCACTTTAAGTTACACCAATCAAATGTAGATTTCATCTCTTCACATAGTCTCATTTTTCTTAGAGGCTTTGTTCATTCCTTTTCATTTGTTTTTCTCTAATCTTGTCGTATGCTTTATTTCATTAAGTTGATCTTCAATCTCTGATATCCTTTCTTCTCCTCTATTGATTTGGCTATTGATACTTGTGCATGCTTCACAAAGTTCTTGTGCTATGTTTTTCAGCTCTATCATTTATGTTCTTTTCTAAACTGATTATTCTAGTTAGCAATTCCTCTAACCTTTTATCAAGGTTGTTAGCTTCCTTGCGTTGGGTTAGAAAATGCTCCTTTAGCTTGGAGGAGTTTGTTATTACCCACCTTCTGAAGCCTACTTCTGTCAATTCATCAAACTCATTCTCTGTCCAGTTTTGTTCCCTTGCTGGTGAGGAGTTGTGATCCTTTGGAGGAGAAGAGGCATTCTGGTTTTTTGGAATTTTCAGTCTTTTTGTACTGGCTTTTCCTTATCTTCATGGATTTATTTACCTTTGGTCTTTGCTGTTGGTGACCTTTGATTGGAGTTTTTGCCTGGTGGTCTTTGTTTTTTGTTGACGTTGATGCTTTCTGTTTGTTAGTTTTCATTCTAACAGTCAGGCCCCTCTTCTGCAGGTCTGCTGGAGTTCGCTGCAGGTCCACTCCAGACCCTGTTGCCTGGGTATCACCAGCAGAGGCTGCAGAACAGCAAAGATTGCTGCCTGCTCCTTCCTCTGGAAGCTTCGTCCCAGAGGGGCCCCCACCAGATGCCAACCAGAACTCTCCTGTATGAGGTGTCTGTCGAACCCTGCTGGGAGGTGTCTCCCTGTTAGAAGGCACAGGGGTCAGGTGTAGCACCGGAGCGAGTGGTAATTCAACATCAAGACAAAAGTATGCCAATTGCAGGGTCTTTATTGCCGGCGGCCATGGAGGACTTAAGTCTCTCCCACCCGTGGCCCCAAGCTCAGGGGGAGCAAGGCATTTAAACTGCAAAACCACATCCTTATTCAGGGGGCCCAGGGGTATGCAAGGCAAGCTGTCTGTACAGAAGCTAAAGTTAGCGGTTTGCTGCAAGAGGAGACGGGTAGCAGTGGAAATTTTTACCCTTAGCACCTCTGAGAACTGAAGTACAATAACAGTTACGAGAATTACACCTCTGCCCAGGGCCCAGGTGGCTTCTCTATAAGATGGCAGTGCTTAAGCTTCTGTTTTTGCCCCTATCTCACAGGGTCCCACTTGAGTAGGGAGTCTATCCCTTAGCAGAGCTTGAGCGCTGTGCTGGGAGCCAGCAGGCAGGAATGTTTAAGTCTGCTGAAGCTGTGCCCACAGCCACCCCTTCCCCCAGGTGGTCTGTCTCAGGGAAGTGGAGGTTTTATCTATAAGCCCCTGAGTGGGACTGCAGCAGCCTTTCTTTCAGAGATGCCCTGCCTAGAGAGGAGGAATCTAGAGAGGCAGTCTGTCTATAGTGGCTTTGCCCAGTTCGAACTTCCTGGAAACTTTGTTTACACTGTGAGGGGAAAACGGCCTACTCAAGCCTCGGTAATGGTGGATGCCCCACCCCCACCAAGCTCAAGCATCCCAGGTTGACTTCAGACTACTGTGGTGGCAGTGACAGTTTCAAGCCAGTGGATCTGAGCTTGCTGGGCTCTGTGGGGGTGGGATCCGCTGAGCTAGACTTGACTCCCTAGTTTCAGCCTCCTTTCCAGAGGAGTGAACAGTTTTGTCTCACTGGGGTATGCAAAGTAACTCCTGCAGCTAGCTTGGTGTCTGCCAAATAGCTGTCCAGTTTTGTGCCTGAAACCCAGGGCCCTGGTGGCTTAGGCACCCAAGGGAATCTCCTGGTCTACCGCATGCGAAGACCATAGGAAAAGCATAGTATCTGGGCTGGAATGCACCGTTCCTCACTGTACAGTCCCTCATGGCGTCCTTTGGCTAGGGGAGAAAGTTCCCTGACCCCTTGTGCTTCCTGGGTGAGGCAGTGCCCCCCTGCCCCGCTTCGGCTTGCCCTCTGTGGGCTGCACCCACTGTCTAACCAGTCTTAATGTGGTGAGCTGGATGCCTCAGTTGGAGTACAGAAATCACCCGCATTCTGCATTGGCCTTGCTGGGAGCTGCAGACCAGAGCTGTTGCTATTCAGCCATCTTGCCTGGGAATCTTCTTTTTTGTTTTTTAATTACAGTGAACTTTCCTACATCAGATCCGCTTCCCAGCTCCATTCCTAGTTGCTGCCAGTTGGGGATATAGTGTCCTAGGATTCCTTGAAAGCATAGCCAAGGGCTGGCTCCAGGTTCTAGGAATGCAGCTTGATTTAGGTCACTTCCTGTTTTCTTGAATCTAGCATAGTATTGACCAGGTCCAAGAAGACAAGAGAAGTGTATTAGGGCCAGGTCAAACTGAAGGAAGCATTCCTAGAGGTCATTTGAAGGAGTAAAGAGGCAGCATTATAGTGAAGAGGAACCAAAGAAAGAACAGAAAGTTGGTGGCATCCTTTGACCTAAGACATGAGAATGGTAGAATAGGGAGAAGCAGAAGAGTGGTTAGCAAGTGGGTAGGTCTAGAGCAGACCAGACCAGAAATAGATGCTGACTGGTTGAACAGTATGCATGGAAAGTATACAGTAGAGCAGTGGAGTTCTACAGAAGTGGATGAGGTTGCTTAAAAGAACAAGGCCAAATTACCTGGTATCCTTTCTGCCCTTGGACCTAGGCAAGAGATGGCAAAAATAAACAAACATGAATAAGTAAATCTGTTGCCTTGTTTTCCTTGTTTTTCACCCCCGTTATGTAAAAAGACAGTCAGCACAGCCTTTCCTGTGCTGTTAGAAGTGCTCTTGCTTCAGGCAAGAAGTCTAAGAAGATGGGATAGGTTGCTGATCAAAGCTTGGGGTAGGTTGAGGGTTAAAGTTTTTTTTTTGTTGTCCGGAAGGACAGGTTTGGGACTTGAGCATTCTTGTTTCTGCCTTGGTGCCTTTGTTTCTTGGACAAAAATCTGTACCCCTTTTAAAACTCAATGCAATGAAGTTGTGTTTTTCCCTAGAGGCCTAATTTTATGAATTTCTAGGTCATAAAATTAGCTTAGTGCTACCTATTTTCACAAACTCTTATCTGTTTAACTGGCTCCTACAGAGGGGCTGCTGGCTGCCTCTGAAGCTTTCAGAAGATTTGAAATGTAGAGGGTAGCCCCAGGTTCCTTATTATTTTGTTTCTGTGGAGCTCCTAAGAGTCTTCACAGTGGTTGCCTGACAATTGCCTTTTGTATTAAAGTCAGCCCTATTAGGTATGTCTCTCAGGCCTCATTAGTTCGAATATTTCACAGCTTCTCATTCAGAAGTGGGGGAGTTCTGTTGGCCTTAATCCACCTGTGATAGTTGTTGGTGGCAGGGTCAAAGTAGAGAGAAGAGACTATTTGGACTGTCATCAAGAATCTGTGACGTCTAGGATATAAACATCTCCATGCATACTGGCCGATTGTCTCACAGGTTTGTTAGTACAAAGGCATGTTGTTATCAAAGGAATCTGTAGTCGCTGGCGTGAGCAAATGTGGATTAATTGGATTATTCATCTTTGCTTCTTTCTGCTTGCTGTGCTCACCCCTCTTGGGTATGTAAACTACAGGGCTTTTGGGGTTTTAGAAAAAACAACAGTTCTTTTCGTTATAGTAGTAAATAGTCAATTTATTTCACAGCATGATTTTTGGCAAAACAGATAGCTGTATGAGTATCAAGCTGTGAAGCAATAATGAAAACGAATTTGCTCTTATATAACTCTTTAAAATTCAGATTTTTCCACATTTTTAGTATTCCCCTATACTTCTTATTATAGACATCTAATGAGGGATAGTTGAGGGCAAATGATGGTTTCTTCCTTTGTCAATTGGGAAATTAAGGGACTATGAGAGTAAGTGACTGGTTTGAGGACTGAGAGTTTTTGGCAGAACCAGGGAGAGAATCCAGATCTCTTGACTTTCAGCTTAATGTTCTTTTCCTCAGATTTTCAAAGGAAGCATTGATCCTGACAATTCTGCCTGGAGCAGTACAAGGTACCCAGTGGCTTCTCATCTTCCATTCATCCTGCCCTGTGCTAGATCGTGGAGATACAAACTAGAATAGGTCACAGGCTTTGCCCTTAAGGAGTTCATGGGCTGATTGGGAAGGGGATAGAAACAATTATGGTAGGGTTTGCAGGATGGAAACAGAAATACCACATTGTTATGGGAGAAATAAACTGAGAGAATTGGGGGAAGAATTTCATAGAGGTTACATTAGAGCTAAGGTTTAAAGGATGGGAATAGAGAGAGAGGATTTGTTTTATTTCAAGAAGAGAATGATTTGGCAAGAGAGAATTGTGAAAAAATTTCAGGTTTCAGGGAGGCGTGATATGGATCAAGGCTTTCTCTTCCTGCTACACTGTTGGCTGAGTACAGCAGCCCCTTTACTCTCCCAGACACTGGAAGAAGCAGGGGACTCCTAACTCTTCTCAGGACCCTAAGGGAGACCAAAAAGAGGACCATGGCATCCTTTTCTAGAGACTCTTGGAACATTGCTATCTGCTTGGTGTACTCTTGTTTGCCATTTACTTGATCTTCGCCCTGCTAGAATATAAATCATTTTCTTTCCTTTTTTTTTTTTCATCAAGTTCACTTCCCGTAACCATAGCCCATACTCGTTTTTCATCTTTTGGTTAACCAAAAGTGAGTTTATTCTATTATTTTCCTTCTCTTGAGACCCCAATACAGCAAATTACAAATATGCACATATAAACCCTGTGGGTGCTAACAATGACTGTTAACTTATTGGTGTTTACTGTGTACCAGGTACTGTATTTAGTGCCTTGTACTATTCTTTTGTATACTGTTGTCTCTAACCCAGTTTTGTGAATGAGAAAACTGAGGCTTAGCTTAAGCATCTCATTTAGAGTATATATAACTAAGGAGTAACAGAGTGGGATTCAGATTTACATCTCTTGGCTTCATGATCACATTGTTATTTGTTATTCCAGAGGTATCAGGGAAGAGTTATTTGATCTGTAGACAGATATTGTCAGGTGTCATAAAAATTAGCATACATTTAGAAAATAACAATATTTGCTTTAGTGTTAGTTAATAGGTAATATATTAAGTTGCCATCACAGAGAAAGAAGATGACTCTATCAATTGACGTAACAGAAAGCCTAGTGTTAGTCTCAGAAAATAAACAGTTCAGAAAATACTAATTAGAATTCTAGTGGTTGTGTGTTAGACTGGAGAGGTATGATAGCACATTATGGAGACAGATGTCAGGAATGAGGGAAAATCTTAACAGATAACTGTCCTGACAGTGGAACTGACCCAGCAATAAAAGTCAAATCAGAGTTGCAGCTTGCTCGTCAAGGCAAAGAGTCAAAGGGGTTACAGACCCAGATGCCATTCCCGACTCATTGGCAGCAGATCCCGAATTTATAGTGGCACAGGTATTCAAAAGGCAGGTAGGTGGTTGCCATATAGGAGGAAGTGTGTTTTACTGGAGCTTTGGTACAGGGTGCTAAGTTCAGAAATGTGGAACTATCTTGTTATAAGCAGAGTGGTGGAAGCAGCCACTGGGCTAGGAGTCAAGGGGAGCAAGAACCTAAGCAGAGGACCAGCCTTGAGAGCCAGAATTCTGGGACTTTTTGGGTTGTACCAACGGAGTCTTGGGAGCCCAGAATTCAGCTCTGGTATCTTGGATTTGGGAGGGGGGGTTACAAACCAAACCCTTCCATAGGAAGAGACAAAACTGTTACAGTGTTGCCCACAATATTGCCTTGTTTGATTGGGGCCCAGAGATGAGCTGCTTGGTTGATGCAGCCATAGTGATTGGCTCAGAGAAAATAAGAGTAAAAGAAGCGGACAAGAGCATATTAAAATTAGACCCAATCAGGCAAAACAATGTGGTACAGAACCTAATTAGCAAAAGAGATGGATTTCAAGTGAAACTTTTACTCATTGGAACTTCCTTAAAAATACAGTAAGACAGGCCGGAATCTACTTGATACATTGATACCTACTGGAAACCTGTAATGCGAGGGACTCATTTATTTCTCCCACATGTATTTGTGCAGCACCTGCAGTGTACTGAGAGGATAAAGTGGGAATAAATCAGTCAAGTACTTTGTTAGCAAGTCTAAATTTCGCTCAAGACAGGATTGTTTTACTTAACTTACAACATAGCAAAGTCTATAAATGATTTAAGGAGGTTGGAGAAGCAGTTACAGTTGTTCTATATTTTCTAACATGTCTACTGTACAGTTACTAAGACAACTTATTTTTTCTGCAGAGAAAATTCCTCACAAGTTTCCTTATTCCCTTCAGCAAGGGAATAGTAGATGTCTAAGTGAGTGTTTCTGAAGAGATTGGCACAGAAAGAAGTAAGTTGGAAGGATAAAGAAAGTGCTGATAGGAGTGACTACTCTTGTTCTAAATTAAACAAACCCAGCAATCAAAGTGTACCTTTAATCCCTAGTTTTCAATGATTGTTTCAAACCTTCTTATGGTCACATGAAATTGGTCTAGTACAATAAATCGTTTCCTTTGACAACTAACTTTTCCTTCAAGTGATTGTTTTAAAGTTTTGTATTCCAAGTTCTTCTTTAAATATGCACCCATCATACTAGATTATATTTAATCCAATCTCTTATATAACCACTATCATTTTGGATTGTTCTCAGTTCCAGTGGAATTAGAATTTCTTAGAACTGTTTGGTTTCTTGGCCTGCATGGCAGGCCTAAAAAAGACTTGGAAGGTATTTAATGATGGGAGGGCAAGATCTTTGGAGCCTCCATCAAGAGTAGTATGGTAGGTAAGGTATATCCACTAACATGATCAGATTTTCCCAAGATTGTTATATACACAGCCTATTTTTAACAGTCATTTTTTCTTCTTCATTGCTGCCAGCTCTGGATCAAATACTTCAGGTTCTTGCCTGCTTTAACATGCCTTCAGATCTCTGTAATTCAAGTTGAAATGTGTGAAATAAGGAATGTATTGTTTAAGGATAGAGTAGCTTATTTATGCTGGGAAACTCCTCATTAATATTTCAGGGTTATTTTCTAGGAAACTAATTTATTTCTCCTTAACCCCATGGAGATATTTTGGTGAAATCCACATTCATTGTAACGCATGAGTTAATGTAGATAAAATACGGCAGTGATGGCACATTCTAAGTGCTCAAGAAATGTCAGATATTACTACTGTTAGTCTTAGAAATGAGGACCAAGAACATGGTTTAGCTGCATGTTCTAATACATGATAACTCAAATTTACTTTTTCTAGCCCTTGAGTGTACCACATTATACAAAATATTCACTAAAATGTTGTTGTCTTAGTATATGTTTCTTTGAGTCATCAGTATTGCTGAACAACTGTGTGATGGGCAAGGCTATACTCTGGAATGGTGGTTTATTTCTTTTCTTTTTTTTTAATGTTTATTTTTTCAAAGAAAAATGGCAATAGCCAATTGAAAACCTACTTATTCTTCAACTCCAATTTTGTTTTCTTTAAATTTAGAAGTGACTTACTGATTTACTATTTTAAACAACCCCCCTCCTTTTCCCCTTTAAATGTTTACCATCTACTCGTGCTGAATCCTTCCAAGGAGATTGCTCCAGCGTTTATCTCCAGGTCCTCGCTTTGCTCCTTTTACCAAAATATGCAAAACACAATTCCATTGTGCATCTTAAGGGCTCCAATCGTCAAAAATAGGAAAAAAAAAAAAAATCTTTGGAATAGCCAATTAAGTTGAATAAAAAAATCCACACGAATGCAGTTTGGTTGGGGCAGGAATCCACTCCTATGTTCCTGGTAATCTGATCCCGCTCCATGAATCCTAGTAATTCATCCTCCCTATCCTATCCACATTATGATTTGAATCCAATGATCCAGCTCCAAGGATTGGGATCCAGTGAGCCCTCTCCAACCCAAACCTTTATATCCAGCAAAACCAAAAAAGGGGAGGCAAAACGTTAGATACTGTAATCAAAAAAGGTTTCTGGGGAATGATGAGTTATGTCAGTCATCAGTTTAACAGATGCACATCAGTAACTATCAAATTCCCCAAAACAAGTTTCTGAATGGTGTTCAGATAAATTTTAGAAACTTAATCATCATAGAGACTGACTGGAAGAAGCATCTTATATTTACAGTTCAACTGATAATGCCAACACGTGTTACTGTACAGCGTATTACAGGTTTCGTGGTTGCAAGAAGTTATGTAATTTAAGTTTACTGGCATTGCTACCCACCTAAGTCTAAAACTAAATCTAATGCTCCCATTTGCAATTTAATTTGTAAATTAAAGTGTTTTAAACATATGAATCAATTGTGAATATTAAAGGGGAAGGTGAGACCTAAGTATTCCCAACTAGATTATCTACACCAATACATCGGAACTCTATTATTTTGCTTTCATTTTGTCTTAAAAAAATGAAATAGCAACGCTCTATCAGTCACATAGAGGACATGCAGATTTAGCAGTATTGATATTATACTCTATCTTGTTATCTTGTTAGATTTAAGGACACCCTCTACCCACATGTACACCAACAGCAGGTCACACATTAACAGTTGTAACTAAGCACTGTGACAAATTAGCCAGTTCTTCCCACATTAGTCCCTATTATAACAAAAATGGGGGGAAGGGAGCAAAATAAGTTGCTACAAAATGGGCAACATAATTTTGCCACAATTGCCAAGGTTTAAAGGGCGAAGCAATTGTAGCTAAAGATAACTGAATAAAACATTCAAGTGTTTTAAGGAAAATATATAATCATTTTTACCCCCTGCCTTTTAGTATAAGGTCAATACTGCCCATTTCATCTGTGATAATAGCACTTGGAGTCATACCATTGCCTCCATTATTGATCTGCTCCTCCTCAATCCTCCTTTTGACAATCCTAAAATGATTGAAATGTGCTCCACAATCCTTAATCCAAAGCATTCTTAATCCATCTCTTCAGATATGTCTACAGAAAGACACATGAAAAGCAAGATAAACATAAGAACTTCCCCAGGTAAGATAACCATAAACATCCCAAACATCCCCAACATCCCAGTTCACACAAATCAGGGCAAAATAGACATTTACACAATATCACAGTCTGAAGAGTATGGAGTTAACTAAATTTAAACAATCCTGTCTATGACATCACGTAAAATACAATTTATCAAAGACACGAGGGGAATGGAGATGTTAGGAGCAAAGGGATATTACAAGAATGCAATTCAACACTTTAGCCCATTCTGAACAAAACAGTTTGAATTAAAAAATGAAAAGATTGTACTGAATAAAGGAAAACTGTATACAACATGGGTTCTACAAAAAGTGTCACCAATCATCTTATGTATGGGAGCGAGATCTGCTATGATTGGGAGAATAGCATGGTGATCCTCTGCTTCTCTTTGGGGAGTAACTGCGACTCCTGCTGTTGCTTCTGCTATGGCTTCTGCTATGACTACGGCTTCGAGATCGAGATCTTCCATAACTTGGACTTCTGGGCCCATCAACTTTAACCCGGATGTAGGCAGTTTCTCCCTCATGGGATCTAAACTTAGTGTTATCCAGTTTTCGAACTGCATAGGTCATATCTTCTTTCCGTACAAACTCCACGACACCAGTGCCATCTTGGTAAACATCAGCATAACATACATCACCTGCTTCACGCATGTGATCCTTTAAATCTTGCCAACTTCCACTTGGAGGCAGTCCAGAGACAACCACCCTGTTTTCAGACCGCCTGGATGGAGGGGGGGCATAGCTACCTTGGGGAGCTCCGCCACCTCCACCCCCACTGCCTCCTTGGCCTGTTCCACGGCAGCTTCGCACCCTCAGATGATATCCATCTTAATCATAGCCGTCGCGACCATACACCGCGTCTTCCGCGTCCCGCGGGTCCTCGAACTCAACGAAGGCGAAGGACGGTCCCCCGCGGCGATTCTCGAGGTCGATGTTGAGTATACCACCATATTTGTAGAACATGTCCTCAATGTCCTTGGTTCGGATGTCTGGAGGTAAGTTACCCACGTAAATGCGGCAGTCGTTCCCTGCGGGGCCACGAATCACACCACCTCCCGACATGGCGGCGACGAAAAGCACGGACTCGAGAACAGGCCTTCCCACCAAGCCTAGCGCATGGCAGAGCAAGCCAGCAGCGGCACCACGTCTCCCGCGGCCCCTCCAGAATAGTGCCTTTATCAGCTCGGCGCACGGATATCGGTTTATTTCTTACTCATGCTCATTGCCCATCAAGATCATCTACGGGTTTTGCTTTGCATTATCTTTTACTCCAGAGCCCAGGATGGAGGGAACATAGACCATCAGAAGTGCTCCCTTTGTCTGTGGCAGAAGGAAACAGAGCCCAAGAGGGCCATATTTAAAATGCCCCTGACCAGAGGTGATGGAGTCACTTCTACTCATAGCTCATTCATTGGCAAGAATGAGTCACCTGACCCCACCCAACTACAAGAGGGCCAAGAAGTGCAGTCCTACCAAATGTCTGCAATTAGGGCTATAACAGGATGTATCTGGTAAACTGTGCTAATGACTCTCACACTGGATGAGTTAGATTCATTATGTGTTGCATTCCTGACTAGCCATCTGAAAAGCATATGCCACTGGTCATGGCAAAAGCTTCAATATTACTTACTACAGATATATCCCTACTATTTAAAATAAAATTCAGAAGGAACTTAAAAATGTTCTAGATGGTCTCTGTATAAGATCACCCTCAGTCATGTAATTCTTGCTTTAAAGTACAGGGTGTGGTAACAAGTAAATTTGTTGATTTTGGAATTAAGTTAATGGTGCAGTGGTACAGTTTTTGTAAGTGAAAGACAAGGAAGTTATATTTTAAGGAAATGTACTGACATTTACTTGGTCATATTTATAAATCATAAAGAGTTTATCATTAATAGTAGTATTGTGATATTGCTGCTTGCTACTGCTGTTGTTCAAATTCTCATTTTTTATTAAAATTTCAATGAACTTTTCTTAGCCCATGTCTTATGGAAGCTAGTAATGATTTAGGGCATATACATAATTGTCTTATGGATTTAGGCAGTGTTATGTACAAAGGCATTGGAGACTTGTGAAAAACATGGTAGATTTGGAGAACTACAGATACTAGTTTATTTTTTAGCTTAAAGGGCAAGATAGGGTTATAAAATGGCAAGAGATAAGGCCAGGTTGGTAGATGGAGAGGCAGGGGTGGTGGTGGTGTCACATCACAAAAGGTCTGTGTAAGAGAGTTCACTTGTTATGTAGTCACTGGGGAGTCACTGGATAATCTTGAGGAAGGTGACATAGTCACATTTGTATATTAAATATCATTCTGGTGGTAGGATGTGAAGGATTTAAAGGAAAGGGGCAAAATTGGTGGGAGACTGAAAAGAAAATTATGTATTGAGAATCCAGTGAGCGATGAATTCACAGTGCCTATGTGGAATACAAGGAGGAGATGAATTTAAGACTGTTTAATAAGCTAGAACGTGGTCATTGGATATAGGAAGAAGCTAGGGTGACTCCTATACTTTAGGCTAAGGTAATTACAGGGATGGTGGCACCCTTTACCAAGATAGAATTTGGGAAGGGAAGCAAGGACTGAGGTTAGGGTAGGATGATGAGCTTGTTTAGACATGTTGAGTTTGAGATGCCTGGAGACATATAGATATATAAAGCTAGAAGGCGTTTAGATATTAGGATTTAGAGTTCAGAAGTCAGATCTTGGCTAGAGGTAGAGATTTGGGTGACCTGAATCGCACTTGAATAAATGGACATTTTATAGAGAGATAAAAGAAGACCTCTGAGGATAGAGCCCAAGGAATATCAAAACTTGATCTGTATGCAGAAGAGGATCCAGGAAAGGATGCTGAGAAGTGGTAGCCAGCAAGGAAGGAGGAACAGCAGCAGGGAATGATGTGCCAGAAACCAAGTTGATGAGCCTTGGAAGGAGGAGAAAGTGCCCTGTTGCTTATACACGCAAGTAAGACGCTCTCCTGAGAAGTTAGCTTTGACTAACATGGAGGCATCTGTGACATTGATGAGAACATTTTTAATGGGGGTAGAGAAGGCAGAAACCAAACCACAGTGAGTGAAGGAGTTCCTGGAGGAGACAGAGAAAGGATAGTGATTAAAAATAAGAGGCACAGAAATGATGGTTTTTGTTTTGATATGAGAGAAACTTGACTTAAATATGGTATCTTAAGTCAGATTTCCTAGAGGCAGGGCTTGAGATGGAGATTTTTCACTTAAGAAGTTTGTTAAAAATTTCTGATCTATAACAAATTAGTTAACATTTAATTAGGAAAATCACAGCACAGATCAAAAGTTAGAATTTGAGAACAGCACTGAGAATGAACTCGATATAAAGCTGGAAGAAGTTGGGAATGGCTGGTGAGACCGTGACCTGACAATGCAGCACACAGCTGAGGGTAGAAACATTTCAAAATCGACCCCAGAGGAGGCCAAATCAGAGTTTGGGAGCAAATGCACAGGGGACAATTGACCATGAGAAGGGATTTCCCTGTGGCGATTTTCGAGAGCATAGGAACCTTTCTAAAGCAGGAATTTTCTGAAGCAGGAGTTGGCAAGCTTTTTCTGCAAAGGGCCAGGTAGTAAGTGTTTTAAGCTCTGTAGGCCATATAGTTCTGTCACAACTACTCAACACTGCCATTGTAGCAGGAAAGCAGCCACAGACATTATATAAATGAATAACCACAGCTAACTTTCAATAAAACTTTATTTATAAAAACAACTGGATTTGGCCTATGAGTTATAGTTTACCAACCCCTGATCTAGAAGGATTATCATGCTTCATGAAGGACTTTGTTCCTGTCCCACTAAGGAACTCTGTGAGACTAGACATAGACACCTTCTTCTCACCCCTAAATGACTTGCATACTCTGCTGGGAAATGTCTTAATATTTAAACTCCATCTCAGTAATTCAAGCTTGTAGTTCTTGAGTCTTTTGATTTTAAATCAGAGAATATTAAAGAGTCTCTATATCTGTGGGTGTTTGTGTAGTTGACTGGATTCTATATTTTGTTTTTTAGAGTTTTCTCTTTAATAATGTGTATGAACATTGAGCTTATAGCTTATTAACAATTCTATATGTATTTACCATAGTTTTGGATCCTTTTTGATCAGTTTAGAAGTGGATCCTGAAGATGAAGGTGTAAGTAATATTTGTGGAAACAGGAAATTGAATAGGGAGTCCATTGCCCACCTTAGCTTTCGGGCATGGCTCTTTCACTTTACTGCTGCTTGTTCCTGCTTCTCATGTACTTCGTCATCCAGTGTCCTAGGGTCTCTACCCTTATTCTTCAGGCCTTTTTGCCATTTTCTTGAGCAGTGAGTAGCATGAATTTAGGTTTTGCAACGATCAGAGAAAAGATAAGTAGTTATCCACATAGTCCTTTTTAAATGCTAAACTGGCACCATTTATGTCACCAGAAAAATTGTCAGAAGTACAGGATATAGTAGTAAAGAATAGTACCAAGTCAGCTAAAGGTCAGGGCCCTTAGGCAAATGACAAAGATTAGTTCAAGGGGATGAGTATAATGCTACAAATAGGAAGTGAATTCAGAGTCAGGAGCAAGGAGGTTTCTAACAGATCGGAGCATAGGAAATGAGAGTGAGTGAGGTAAATAGTTTAGAATAGGGGTCCCTAACCACTGGGCAATGGACTAGTACTTCATCTATGTTTACAGCCACTTCCTGTTGCTTGCATCACTGCCTGAGCTCCGCCTCCTGTCAGGTCAGTAGCACCATTAGATTTCCACAGGAACGGTAACCCTGTCGTGAACTGTGCATGTGAGGGATCTAGGTTGCATGCTCCTTTTGAGAATCAAATGCTTGAAGAGCTAGCACTGCCTCCTGTCACCCCCAGATGGAAACGTCTAGTTGCAGGAAAACAAGCTCAGGGCTGCCACTGATTCTACATTATAGTGAGTTGTATAATTATTTCATTATGTATTACCTTATAATAATAGAAATAAAGTGCACAATAAATGTAATGTGCTTGAATCATCCCAAAACCATGTCCCCGGTTCGTGAAAACATTGTCTTCCGTGAAACTGGTCCCTGGTGCCAAAAAGTTGGTGACTGCTGGTTTACAATGTAGGCTGTCAGCAAGGAAGGGGGCTCATCCACTTATGCAATGCCTTCTTCAGATGTAGGTTGATGCTTATTATGAGTCAGGCATGGTGCTGTATCTTAGGAATACAGTAATGAATAAAGTAGACAGGGTCCTGTTCGCATCTAAACCACAGAACATGGAAAATGACTTGACTGACTGCTTGCTCAATTCTCCCAAAGATGGTACTTAAGTAGTGCCATTCCAGATGGAAAGTGGAGCCGTTATTTATTGCATGTAATGGATGCCTTAGTGTAAGGGTGCTTAATTCTCCTGGGAACTCAGGATGAGAAAATCAGTCGTCTAGTGTAGCAATAATAGAGTGGTAAGTGCAGTGATAGAGAAAAAGTGCTGGGTGCCACGGGAGTGTGCAATAGGGATACCCAGCTAGCCTGCAGAGGGCCAGGGAATGCTTTCTGGAAAGGGATTCTGGGAAAAAATGAAGTCTGAATGGAAAACTGTTAACCATGTGAAGAATAGAGAAGGCTTGATGGAAAAGAGAGACTCATTTTCTCTAAGGCCAAAAAGTTTTAAAAATATAGCCAGAGGTGAGATTTTGAGAAGAATAGTGACCAGAGAAAAGTTCTTATCAGCTTTGTTGGGCTGTTTCTTACTGGGCACTGACAAAGGCAGATTGCAGACAGACCCAGTGTCTTACTGGTCTCAGTTTTGTGCTGCTGTAACAAAGTACCTGAAACTGGGTCATTTATAAAGAATAGACATTTATTTTCTGACAGTTATGGAGGCTGGGAAGTTAAAGATCAAGGCACTGGCAGGTTCAACTGCCTTGTGAAGGCTACATCCTCCAGAGGGGAGGAACGCTGTGTCCTCACGTGGCAGAAAATGAAACGGCAAGTAGGCCTACCACTGTGTGAAATAGCTACCACTGTGTGAAGTCTCTTTTGTAAGGGCCTAAATCCCATTCATGAGGGAAGAACCCTCATAATATAATCACCTTTTAAAGGTCTCACTTCTTCTTCTTCTTTTTTTTTTTGAGACGGAGTTTCGCTCTTGTTACCTAGGCTGGAGTGCAATAGCACGATCTCGGCTCACTGCAACCTCTGCC